CACCCGCCCCCCCACCAAAAACCCTCCAATACCCAGAACCCTCCCCCCAACCAACCCCCCCCCCACCCAATTAGCCCAACCCCCCCCCCAAATAGCCCCCCAAACCCCCCCAACCCCTCACCAACTCCCCCCAAACCCCCCCTAATTCCCCCCCCCAAATCGCACCCACCACCAACCCCCCCACCCCCCCACTCCTGCCGTGCCGTTCGAGCTGAACTCCACCGTGCCGGCCAGGCCGTGGCCGCAGCGCCCCCGCGCCACAAAGCCAAAGCCGCCCGCCGCGCTCGACGAATTCGCCGCGGCCGGGCGCAGCGCCAGGCCCGGGGCGAAGCGCTGCAGCAGCGCGGGGCTGGAGCCGTGGCCTGCGAAAAACCGCGGCGCCGCGGGCGTGCCGCTTTGGGAAAGCCGGAAGAGTGGGCCACCAAGAAAACCCGATTTGGATGACAGGGGAGGGGAGGGAAGGGGAGGAAGAAGAACCCGCTAGGTTAGAATCCTAAAATGGTGGTTATATATATAATATGGTGTGAACCCAACCAGTGGTTTAAGGAATATCTTTGGAGGAAACAAAGGGAGGGAGGGGGAGGGCAGAGCGAAGGGGAGGGGGGGGAGGGATTTTCCCGGGTTAGGGCCCAAATCCCCATGAGACAAACGGGGTCATAGGCCTAAACTTCAAGGCTCGTGTTCAAGTGTCTGGAGAGTCCAGGTATGTTGAGGATGCCAAGCACGTGATGCAAATCACCCGAGACAAAATCGGCACGGTCAAAAGCTACGCAGGTTTCCCCAAGAGCGCACAAGACAAATGCCTGGGCTTTCTTCAAATGGCTCGTTGTGTTGCTCATTGAGGAAGCACTACCACAGGCAGCTTGTTGACCACTCATGGGCACCCCGCATTTCTAAACCCCCGGTTGATTTTGATCGGGGGGCATCCCCTTTTACTGGCGATTGGGAATCCCCCCTGCCCCCTATTAGTATTAGCCGAACGGTCTACCTAGATCCGGGGTCAGCAGTAGCAAAAGCTACCCATTTTGTAGGGTACATTGCCTTTGAAAAGCCTCTCGCCCGACTGGGGTGACCCCCATTTAGTCTAATAGTTGGGGGTTTTAGGGCTCCCCGATTTTTGTTGGGTCCCCTGCTTGTCTTGTCTTGGAACCAGGCTCTCTTTTTGGTTATAGGAACCAACACCTCCATTTGCTTAAGTCCGAACAAACAACTGATATGTTCAGTAGTGATAGATTCCCGCTCAAAACCAAACCTACTCTGAGGGTCTCGATTGTTTTTGGGCCCTCAAAACTGGTTCTTCTCAAGGGCCCCCGACAGGTCGGGGTTCTCTATCGGGTCCGGGGGTGGCATTGGAGGGGTCATGACCCTTAGGGTAGGGAAATAAGCAAATAGTCATTTGGTTGTGGGTCAAAATGAAACCAGCAGGAATTGGACCGCCGGTTTTAGTCCATGTTTCCATTTACCAGGGCAAGCCATTTTGGGTACCTATTTCTGACCCACAGCCATTTCAGCAAATGGAAGAAGGGTCATGACCTTCCCATGGCTCCTGCGTAGGAACCAGAAGGACATAAATAGGTACGAGTGGAACCCTGGCAAATGGAAATATGGACTGCGGTCTTTTCGTTTGTGGCTGAATTTTGACCCATACCCATCTTAGCCAAATGGAACAAAAGGTATTCCCAAATAGCCAGTTGGACGAAAACTCTGAACATATTGGTATGGGTCACAATCCCGTACCCCCAGTGAACATCCCAATCCCCACTAAAATAGGCTCTAAAATGGGTGGTGCCCCTACCCCCCAAAACGGTTTTGACAACCACTGCCATATAGGACATCACCCAAATTCTAGGGGTTGATTCCATTTCCATTCTTTTCAACCATCGTTCTTTTCAAAAACCAGATTCGTTTCCCCAGGGTTTTGGGTGGTTCTTAGAAAGATTCGGATGCCTGGAAAGAATGAAAAAGGTACCCCTAGCAAAAAGGGCACCCAAAGAAAGACAGTACGGAGAATGTTGACCCAGGCACCCCCCCGGCACGGCAAAGGACTCAACAAATGCTCGCGGTTTTTTCTTTCTTCCCCATGTGTTCTCTTGGGTGCTGAAATGCTCGCGCTCGCCAACTGTACGGCCTGTGACTCCCTTAGACAGGCGTCCCTTTGTTAACTCCCAAACTTTGTCCCAGTTCCGCGAGCCCCGGGGGCCCCGGTTCCGCGCTCGCTCCGCGGAGGGGAGCGCGAGCAACCGCGCCTTTCACGGCCCAGAGGCCCTCGGCATCGCCCAGGCGGCCGAAGAAGAAGAGGTCGCCGTTGTACTCGAGGAAGGAGTGCGGGTCCAGGACTTCCAGCTCCTCGATCTACGCGCTCCGAATGAGAGCCGATGAGTGCCGGTGTCCCCTTAACTTTTGCTCCTGTGAGCGATCGCTTTCTCAAAGTGGACTTTGGATGGTAGTATGCCTAGCTCCACCCACGAGTAGGACATCCTGCTAGGTCTGGGAACTGCGGGAACTGCGACTTTTGGGTGCCCTGGTGCGAGAAATTTCAGGTTCGCTGGAAGGTCCAGGAAGTTGGTTCAGCATCCAAGTCTCACTTCCCAAGGTGATGCTTCAACAAAAGTCCGAACTTTTTCTGAACCACTAAAGCTAGGTCCTCCAGTATAGAGATTAGAATTTAAGGGTACCAACTTTTTCTGTAGACTGATTGAGTAGGGTTCTGAAGCTTATGAAGCAAAATACTTTCTCAGACATGTTGGGACCTCAAAGGCCCTTCCGAGGTCCAAACCCTTGGCAGAAAGAAGAACCCCCAATGGTTCCAATGCGAGCATTGGGCGCTCGATTCGCCGAGGTTGTAAGTTGTTAACCCAAGTTTTAACCGTTTTAACCCAAGTAGAACCCCCCCCCCCCAAGGTAGAGTCAACCTTGTTATTAGTGGGTGATTAACCCAGGTGGCCGAACATCCACTTACTAGCTTGGCCGAGCATCCAAGTAGTTGGGTCCGTCTTGTTTTGGATTTGGACCCCGCAACAAAGTGAGGGGTGCCTTTGGTTTCCCTTAAATCTAACCAAAAGGGGGTACCCTCCAAAAAAACAACAAATACGGGGTCTGCAAACATTGGATTTAGAAAGAATCCCCATTTGGCATACCTCCTTTGGTGGTCCCTTTGGAGTAAGTTAAACATGTTGGTTGCAACAGATGTTGGTTGCAACAGAATAGCTTCATAAGGCTCACCTTCTTCATTTGAGGCTTGTGAGCCTTTTGAGGCTTGTTGCCTATGAGAACCAAAGCAAATGTCCTTTCACCGCCTACAGAAACCCTAAAGTTAATTTACCGCATAACTTCAGGTCTTGTGGTTGAGTGCGGCGTTTCGTGTACTTGCCATATTTAGATCCCATATTTAATTCATCCAGGATGTGGGTGTCTCTGTGTTTGTCTCTCTGGTCGGTTCAAAAGCAAACCAATGCGAAAAACCACTTCTTCTTTTTTGCCAGGGGAGGGGGTCGGGGGTCCCCTAAAAACAAGCACACCCCCATTTAGATCGATTCAGGAGATGCCTGAGATGCCGTATGATCTTTCGAGCCCCGGGTCCTCCGTCGCCGTGGCCGAGGCGGCGTCGGTTCGAGTCAGCCTACCGTTGGAGGAGAAGTAGAGCTGCGTGCCGTGGGTGGCGTGGCCGATGCCTATGGTTTGCGACGCGCACGGTGGTATTGGGGGGGGGCCCCCGGGCTATAGGGGGCGAATAGGGTTCCTAATAATTCCCAGAGGGAATAAACCTATTGGAAATCATGATTTGATATTAAAAATAAGCCGATTAGGAGCTAATAGGGTGCGGGGCCACTGACAACCATGCGATGTTTAGGCACTTGGATGTCCATCTCAGTGGCTCAAAGGACCGGAACTAAAAGGTTAACCTTTTCAGGCCATGACAAAGTATGGACCAGACTGGGAAAACCCAAAAGGTCAAAAGGTCCCCTGATACACTTGTAGCGGTGAGGCATCTATAGTGACCTTGAACTCTGGGGCACGCCAAAATTCATGGGTGTGGCGCGTCAAGGGATTTGCGGTTTCCTTTGAACACCATCCTAAAAAGGGTACCCTCTGGTACACTCAGAAAACACAGACCCTAGTTGAGTTTACCCTAAAACATAAGACCTGGAGTCTCCTTCTGACCCTTCAAAAATGGTTGGTCATTCTCCAAAATAATGTGGTCATTCTCCACCCATTTTTCGAGGGTCAGAAGGAGACCCAGGTAGTCTCAATGTCGCATGTTGCAACGACACCATGGATCAGGACACCGACTTTTGGGTTCTTCGCTCGCTCGCGCCTTTTGGCAGCTCGGTCGTGTCCTGGCGTGGTCCGTCTCTCTTTCACGCGTAAGCCAGATGTCAGTGGCACCCACAACGGGGGGCCCCCGGTGGATTTTTCGGTGGCAATTTGGGCACCAATTCTTTCTTAAGTTGATATTAGAAGGGTTTTCGGCACTTGACCTTGAAGGATTATGGGCTAGGACCTGACGGGTTTTCGGGTAGCCGACTTTCAATTGGGAAATCCCGTTCAAAGAAGGAACAACGATCGCAGGTCGGGAAAACAGGGATCCCGTGCTAGGGTTCGAAAAAAGTGAATTGGTTCCGATCGCTTGCGCGGGACGTCCTGTGTAACATCCAAAATAACTCCATTTGTTGGAACCAATTACAATGGGTCACCCAAATCGGAACAGGTCCCTTCTTGAAAGAGACTCCGTTCTGTCGCAACACGCAAAAGCTAGGTTTCCCTGAATCAGAGTGAGCTGCCTGAAGGTACATGCGGAACCGCTTGTAGCGTTCGGGTTCCGGAAACAAATACGTCCATCAAGCAAGGAAACAGCTGCCTGGTTTTGAGAAATACTGAGCCTGCCTCTCCAAGAATGGGAAGCCCCCCAGAAGTGATGGGTGAACAAACACAAGGGCCAAAACCGCTGGTTGAGCTCCAAGTATCCCCTAGTCCACAGTCCACATACCCTTTTTTCCTACAGTATGATGTCAACCCCTGACTGAACAAAGAAATGAGTTTGCCCTGGAAAACCCAGGTTTGCCCAACAGAATACCCCGAACAGAAAAGCGGGGTATTTGGAGTAGCGGGGGAAGTAGGTTATATAACCTGCTTACTAAGTTGGCAACGCACATCCAAGAACCCATCTTAGTAAGTAGGTTATAATCATGGAAAGGAGATCACCACAGCTATCACACCCGCCGTTGGCAACGAAGATCCAAGCGCCCCCAACCTCCCCTCTCCCCCCAAACCCCCTACCCCCTGCAACCTCCAAACCCCCCCTCTCCCCCCAAACCCCTACCCCCTGCAACCCCCAAACCCCCCCAAACCCCAAACCCAGCAGAGAGGTTAGAATGCTGTAAGGGTACCCTTTTTTCTGTATAGTCTATTTTAGCAGGGGAACCCTCCCAACCAAAAAAGTTGGCGAGAAAGGTTCAGAAAGGGCACTACTGGGAGACCAACAAACCAAGAACCCCATCCCTACAACAAACCCCCTCCCCCAAACCCCCCCCCCCAACCCCCCCCCGCCTGCAGGGGGAAGGCCTCCCAAGGCCCGATGCCCGACATGGAGAGCCAGGAGCCCAGCGCCCCCAGCAGGAAGCAGTCCAGGCACCACACCCCGCTCCGCAGCCCCAGGAGCATCTGCTGCTTCTCCAAGTTCCTGGAAAACGGGGGCTGCTTGAAAGACCCATTTTCGGTTGGCAAAGGGCACCTCCTAAGAAAAAGACACACCTCCCATTCGACAAAAAAACGGCACAACTCCATGTGTATGTCAACATAGATTTTGAGGCTATGCATGTGTCCTTTCAAGGCATTTTCAAGTGTTTTAGACCACCACAAGCTTGCAAGGCAGTATATACCCCTTATACCTACCTCCAAACCCCATCATTGAGAGTCCCTTGATTGTAGGTTGGATTGAACAAGGGAAGCCAAAGAAAGGGACACCTCCCATTTCACGAATCCTCGGAACAATTAAGCCCACCCGAGCCACGGTGAAAGTGACGCTGGGAGCGTCAAGGCTGTCATGCAATGATTGTCCCTCTAGTTGGCTGTTTGAATTAGTGGTTTGCAGGTGATGGCTTCCTACATTTGGCATGGTTTTTGCATGGACAACACAATGCAACTATAATTATAAGTACTGTGACTCAAATGGCAACCATCCATTTGCTTAAGTCCCCTGGAAAATGATGGATCCCGTTTAAAGCCAAAAAAGGAAAAAAGGAAGAAACAAAAAAACAATCTTCATTTCAGAAAATGGAAGCAACGAAGCCGACGAGGTACGTCCGTCTGAAGCAAGCCGGATGCTTCATGTCTCGGCCAAGCGGCGCGCCCAGCCCCGTGAGGGAGAGAAAGTACATCACGCAAACGGAGAAGCCCAAGCGCCAACTCACCTGACAGGCCAAGCGCCGATTCGTATTACTTACCCCGTAAAAAACTCCAAGCCCTGGGGAAGTGTTCATCTTTTACAGACATATAGCCCAAAAAGTTGAAAAGCGGTGTTTTTAAGAGGTAAGATTATGGTAGCATCTGGGGGTGACATTGACTCGGAATTTTGTATTTTTTAGCAATAGCGGGCGGACACACCGTAATTTTAAGCGTACCGGAGAAATGCCGGTTCACGACTGTTCTCAGGGATATGCGAAACTGCTCCTAACATAATCATAGTTTCCCTTTCGACCCCCGAAAAACAATAGGGCAAACGACGAGCCTGCACTTCCATGTTAAGCACACGTGTTCTCCTTTACATGGAAGTGTACGGCCTATTTTCAGGTGCTATGTTAGGACACTTTCGTGGGTCAGAATTTGCGGTTTCACTCACTGTTGTCTTTTACATGGAAGTACAGGCTCGAAACAGGTTCCCTCAAGAATCTAGGGTTCCTAAAGAAACCCCCGGGATGGTCGCGAGTACCCTAGGTAACTTCTATGTTAGGAGGCCCGGCAAAAAATTGACAGGCAAAAGCCGTTTGAGGGACTTCGATGACTCCAGGGAGTGTAGTGGGCAGAAATCAGGATGGGTTTTGATGGTGACTCACCTTTGGTCCTCAGCCCCGAGCTTCAGGGTGTGAAATCCGGGAATGCCATTCGAAAGGGTCCAAGGAATGTTCAGCCCCAATGTTTCCGAATTCCCACCCACCCGTTTCGGAACCTGTTTCGAGAACCCCAAAGGAACCTGGAAGGAGTTTGAACCTGGAGTATCCATGACCCCTTAAGAATTGGCCAATGACCCCAAAATTTGGGGTAATGACCCCTTTCTCTAGGTACCCAGCCCCCTTGTACCTATCCCCCGTTTCGGGATTCCAGAAAATCTGGATCCTCGAGAACGAGATGAGCAAGTTGCATCGGCCCCGTTGGACCATCGGGCTCCCGTTGGACGGAAATAGGTCAAACATGACAACCTGCTGTCTCCGTGACCCTTGAACCATGCATGGGGTCATTACGAGTACCCAACAATAGAGGGTTATGGACCCATGTTGTAAGGGTCATGGAGACTCCAAGAAATCCCTTGTCGGTGTCCTTTCGGCAAAAACAATACAAAAGGGCTGCAAACTGCGCAGCCATGCCGCCAAAAATCCTTCCCCCACTTGTGACCTTTCGGATGAAGGGGTCTGCAGAGAAAAAGCACAAATGTTTCATATTTGGCTGCTCAAAAAATAGAACCCCCTCGACCGAGGTTGGATCCTATGCTCCAAGTTTGTCCTTAAAAACCACAAAAAAGGACCCTCCAAAAAAGAACCCTGCTCCTAATGGTACAATACTGTGACAGTAGACCAGGTATTAAAATGGTCGATCCAACCAGAACCATGCTTCAAGAATTAACAAAGCGGATATCCGCACCCAAATTTATGGCAAGGGGATTGTCCCTTACCACCCTCCACCTACCCGGGTCTGGATTGTGACTCAATCCCCTTTTTTTGGTAAGGGGGATGATGAAACCCACATGGGGGGGAATGGTGTTTCTCTATGTTAGCCCAGCGGTAAACCTTTGCGAAATCGCCGTAACCTTTCTTAAACAAATATGGCCATGAAATTTAATAGGAACCACCTCAAAAGTGATTGGTGGACATGAATCTCCCGCTAAACAATGTCCACCAAAAGGGTCCCGTATTTAAATTCATAGCCAGGTGGTTTCTGTACTATGTGGGTAGCCTGGAGTGCCAGTCAACGATCTCTTTTGTTGGGCCCTGGAGAGAGAGCTCCAGAGTCAGGTTACGCACCCGGAGCAGAAGTGACCAGGAAAAGCCTTCAGCTCCAAACGAAGAATTTGTCAGCTTCCGTAAATGAAGCAACTGAGAGAGTGGTTCAAACTTGTCTTGTTGCAAGCTTCCCTTGAACATGGGTTCATCAATACCCCCACCTCTCACAGAAATATCACTTCCGAAGTCAGGAAGTACTTCTGCATGATGCAGAGAATGTAAAACCCAGCCCTCCGGTGGCCATGAGAAAAAGAGGTTGGTTGCAAAGGTAACCTGACCTCGGTCCTCCAGTAGAGAGGTTCGAATAAGGGTACCCTTTTTTCTGCAGTCTAGTGAAGTAGGGGAACCCTCCCCCGAAAAATGGTAAAAGGGCACTACTGGGGGACCTAGTGACAATCAAAACCGATCGCTATTAACATGTAAAGGATGGTGTGAACATGCGACGCCTCGATGCGAGTGCCCTGAATCGAACAACCTATTAGTCACGATCAAAAAACATGGTCTACCCAGAGCCGTGTAAAGAAGGTATTAGTGGCAATAAATCAGGATGGTGATAAAGCGGTCTTTTGACCATCACAAACATGAGTCACAATATGTCACAATCGAAATATAATTCTAAGCCCCAAAATTTCAGTGGGTGAGATCTGGGAATCCCATTCGAAAGGGTACGTAGTCCAAGGGGGTTTCCTTAAGGCTCCCCAGGGAATTTGTTTCGGAGCCTGTTTCGGGAACCCTGCACCTCGATAACGGGCAACAACGAGCAATAAATCCGCCACTTGCACCCGGCCCATGAACTTCTGTTTGCATCGGCCCCGTTGGACCATCGGACTCCGACGGACATCGGTCGACGATGACAAACCCTGAGCCTTGGGCTCACCGAAAATGGAGGGAGATGGACCCATGCTTTAAGGGGACTCCAGGGTTTTCCCTTTTGGGCCGTCCTTTCGGCAAAAAAAAATAATACCCAAACGGGCATGGTTGCAAACTGAGCAGCCATCCCAAAAAAACAAATCCTTTCCGCACTTGTGACCTGCACGAAGGTGTCTGGACAGAAACACAACACACATATTTGGCTGCTGAAACATGGAATCCCCAAATTGGCACCCAGCTGAATCTTGAGCACTTGCAGCTTGCGGCACATGAGCGGCCGCCGCCACTAGCGCTAAGCAGCAGGCATTGCAGAAGACGAAAATGGCCGGCAGCGCCAAATGCCGAAACGCCGCGCCGCGCATGGCGACCGGTCGCGACTACACGGGCGGGCAATTTCGGTTGCCAGTTGGAAAACCCGCCGGCCGCCCCGCGCCCGGCTTTCAATGGGGGCGGTTCGGCTTTTCTCGGGTTTGGGGGGGTTCCCTGAGGATCCAATTGGACCCAACGGCCCCCCCGTGCACGATGCCTTTTTCAAAGGCCGGCTGGAGCCACAGAAAGCCATACGTTGGCTATGTTTCTCCAAAGTTTTCAGGACACCTTCGTGTGCCAAAAGCCTTAAAAGGTCTTTGCAGGGACTCCTAAAAAATAAATAACAAAAATATGAGAAACACTCGGAGCATTCATACAAACATGCTGATTCTGTGCCTCTTGGAGATGACACGGGGGGCATCGAATCAGGCTTTGCTTATTTTTCCCACAACTCTCCAGCTCCGAAGTGACTTCGAAGGGTGCATCCGGGCTACAAAGGGCCCGCATATCCCGAAAAAAGACTGCACTTGGTTGCTTTCTGCTCCCCTGCTAAAAGTTTAGCTTTTAGTGGTTTGATGGAAAACCCACTAGTTGGCAAAAAGTTAAAGTCCGAACATCCAAGCAAAATGCACCAAAGTGCAATCATATGTTTCCTCAAAGGGATGTTTGACTTGCATCCTCCTCGACGTGCCCATTGGTATCTGGAAGGGTGCTGTAAATAAAAGCTATCAATCTGAGCAAAATATTCCCTGGGATTCAAACCACGATTAAAACAATGTGGGTTCATGGCACCACCGTTGCTTACCTAAAAGGATTCTCAACCTAAATAGAGTCAATCATTTTGTTTTACGCGGGTTGAACCGTAGGGTACAATTATCCACCAACCGCAAATAAGGGCTCCTTATGAAAGAAACCTTCATGACGTCACAAACCCCGGAAAGCGACGTCACAAACCCGGAAAGCGACGTCAAACAAGGCTTTGCCCAGATCAATATCAATCCAGAATTCTAAGAACCCCTGTTCATCTTGGATGTCCTATTTGAGAGAAGCTTCACTTTTTTGACTGGACTTCCCCCTGCAACCGGTTTGTTGTTAAATGTTGTTAATCAGTTGACAGTAGTCAGTTTGGGTTTGCTTGAAACGAAAAAGACAGCCTCCTAAAAATGGCAGGCTCAACTTGGTCCCTTGGGTGACCCTAAATGTTTAACAAATACCTTCCCTTCGGATGCACACCTGACTATGGCTCGAAAAAACAGGCATGGATCGTTCCGCGGTAATCTGGACGTCTGCATCGGTCTCCCTTGTGTTTTAGTCTGGATCGCAATCCTGGATCGCTTGCGGGCCCGGTCTGATGAAGAAGACCTTTAACAAAATTGAGCCGCGGCTAAATGGTTTGTCTTTGGGTGATGAATGGCATCCGTTTGTGCGAAGACATATATGAGTCATAATCAAAACCTGGGATTCAAATGGTCTACCCAGAACCATGTAAAGAATTACCAGGCAGATATTCGCACCCAAATTTACTGGGATCATCCCTTACCAACCTGGGACTTTCCCTGGTTTTCATCGTGGCTCATGGCTCTCTCAACCTCAAGCCAATCACTCACCTCAGCTCCAGGCAGACAAACGACGACCTGGCAGTAGAACCTGTCAGGCAAGGAAAAGCCCGTCCAAGGGAAACCAAAGATGGCAAGGGACAGAACACGTGGATGGACGAAAAGTCCATTTCGCACCGCCTCAGAAGCCCTGGAATCATTCGACTCCCCCGCAAAAAAAAAACAAACAAGAACAGTTTCCCGGGGTTTAAATTGCCACGATCACTCGGCCCCTGCCCGAAATTGCTCCTCGCAACGAGAAGTAGTGACTCTTTGCCGTTCCCCAAAAGACCCAGTTAAAAAAAGCCTCAGTAGAAAAAGTTGAGCTTTAAAACATTCACTAAACCGGATCTCTGGGCGACGAAAAGGCCAACAGGTCGGCTTTGGGGGGTTGTGAGCAACAAGCTGACTGTTTGCTGGTGCAAATTAGGGGAAACGCAAATTAGGGGAAACGCGATTAGCAGGAACGACAACTTAGCAATCAAGTTAGGGCAAAGGATTTCCAAGGCCCCACACACACACACACACACACACACAGACGCACCAACACACACACAGACACCAAGAAAGGCTCTCAGAGCCATCTTAGGGGTTCTTAGAAGGGTTCTTGGAAGGGTTCGGAGAACATTCTGGGTGGTACGGATAGGGGCTTCAAGGTCTGCCTAGGGTTCACCCCCATTAAACAAATGGTTGGTCCAATTTGAGTCTCCAGCGAGGCCTCCCCAGTGTGGAAACCCAGCCCTCAATGGAGGCAGTTCGCCAAATTTCCGAATCCAGGCGTAGGTGTTTGGCTCTAACAGATTCTCCTGTGCTCCCTGCATTTGTGGGAGACTTTGACTCAAACGAGCCGGCGCCGTATCCCCAGCAGCCCCGAACCCAGCTGCCCCAAACGAGCTTCTTTGGGCCTGCCGACCCCAAAGCTTTCAGCTGTTGGGGAATCGTTTCCCCAGCACCAATTGCTACGTTCGTTCTTTGAGGGTACGCTTTTTGGGGGTTTCAACAGGGACCAACAGGAAAACCATGTTTCTTTAAGGGCGGGGGTGTCCCCGACAAAAGACACACCCAATCGAAGCCTTGTGGGTCAAAAACTGGCACCCAAAATGTTCACAAGGACAAACAAACCTGTGATCCCTGGATTTCTTGACTTTCGGCCCATATGCAAAAACCCAAATACTGGCCAGACAAAAGTTGCGCTTCTTGTGTGAGCGATTACAACCCTTTCCCCCTAGAATCCTTCAGGAAGAGACCTACCGGGGTGTGCGCGGTCAATTTTGGACCCGGGAGGCCTAAAACAGGGTGATAGTTGACCATCCCACGCCTGCCGCACAAATTGGACTTGCTAATTCGATCCGCGGCTGAGCTGAAAACGTCTTTTAGAAACAGGCTTAAGAAGCATAAACTTTTGTCTGACTGAAGTAAGCCCAAATGGTATCCCCAAAATGGAAGCAAGGACAAAGACACACCTAAAGACACACCTACACCAAAGACACACCCAAAGATACACCTAAAATGGAATCCCAAAGACACACCTAACTCCCGGACCTCTGAGCACTCCACGCCGCCCGTTTTTGGCCTAGGTCCTCCAGTAGAGAGGTTAGAATCATTTGGTGCCCGATTTTTGTTGTATTCTAGTAGGGGAACCCTCCCCCCAAAAAGGTGGGTGAAAAAGGGCACCTAGCTGGCGGACCTAGCCTAATTCCACCACCTAATTCCACCACCTAATTCCACTGCTTTTTGGTTTTGGACATGGGAAACAGCAGTTGGGGGGTACTTGGGCAGTTGGGGGTCCCCCCAAAAAAGTTGGAAAAAAACATGGCACCTAGCTGAAAGAAAACCTCGCAGCGCAGACGCGCGTCGAAGCTCGCGCCTCGGGCTCCTTCTCCACCTCCCGCTGCCGCGCTAAGGCTCCGAAGAGCTCCCGGAACATCGCCACCTGCGGCTGAGAGCGGATTCAGAGCGATGAAAGGAAGCCATGGCCGTTCATAGGTGTCCAGGGCTGTGGGAAATGACCACTTCTGTGATACAACAATAAGGGCTTCCCAAAGACTACCCCACCACATAACGGGGGAGAGTCCCTGTATCACAGAAGTGGGGTAAAACCCCTTGATCCCACAACCCTGCTAGGTGTCCTTTTCGGGGAAATAGATAGGTTTCCTAGATGATTAAACCACCAGGTGAACCAGGAATCGCCATCTATTTTTCAAGCAAAACAACGAAGAAGGACACCTATGTTGCCATTTGTTGGGGCTCAGATCCCCCACGCAAAGCTGGTAGGATAAAATTTCGGAAACCCAACCACTAAACCAAGCCAACCTACAGTCTCTATGACCCGAAAACAAAGGGGTCATTACCCAAAATGTTGGGGTCATTGACCCATTTTTAAAGGGTCATGGAGACTCCAGGTATGTTATATATGTATGTATGTATGCACGTGGGTATGGATTTTAACTAGGGACCCTTTGGTGGACATCATGCGTGGGGATTTGTGCCCACCAACCACTTTTGAGGGGGTCCCCCATTAAGAATCGTAGCCATGTGACATGGGCCATATATGTCCGCGCCAAGTCAGCATATATATATATATATATGTTTACTTTTGCCTGTAATCCAAAATCAGTGCTGCGCGGTGCTAATTAACGGACTGCCTATAAACCAAGCAGAGCAAACCTAGGTTGCACGCTGCCTCTGCTAGCCCTGAGTAGCTTCAGGGCTTCATCGCGGAATCGATCTCCTTCCTCTGAAGAGTAGATGGACGCAGCAGGGATCATAGCTCCTTTCAAGTCCTTGTTTGGATAGGTCCTCCGGTAGAGAGGTTAGAATAAGGGTACCCTTTTTTTCTGCAGTCTAGTTTAGTAGGAGAACCCTCCCCCGAAGAAGGGTAAAAGGGCACTACTGGGGCCGGGGCACCTAGTTGTTGCTGCTCCTAAAAACGTCCGCATCCGCTCGAGCGCTGCACTCGTTCACTCCCACGGCCCCTGACTTGATTGCCGGGGACCAGCCTCCCACTGACACTCTCTGGGTTCTGGATCTCAAGAGAGGTGAGGTCCATGACACACAAACAAACAAGCAAGCAAGCAAGCAAACAAAAAAAACACGCAAACAAGCAAACAAGCAAACAAACAACCACACAAACACACAGACACACAGAAACACACACACACACAAAGACACAAACACAAACCAAAACGAACACACAAAGAAAGAAACAACCAACCGCAGAAGCACAAGCAGCGGCTAGGCCGCCCATCCTGGTAGCCGGCCCTCCCCCCCGGCGAACCGGCGAACTTGTGGCTTGTCCTTTGATTTTCCTGTAGTGTTAAGACCATGTCCAAAAGGAAAAGCATTCCAGCCTCCCTTCAGGGATCTTCCAAAACTGCGCCGAAGCCCTAGGAAAATGGGAGCGAGGGTGAAGAGAACATGGGGAATCAACCGATGGAAACATGCCGTGCCTAAAACACAACCGCAGGAGAACCGGGCGGGGTGGGGCTGAGGCTGCGGACCATGACCATTGAGAAGGCGAAGGGAGGGGTGGTCAACCATGCCATGTAGACCCATAGATTTCTACATGTATGTGTACAACACCAAGCATGTATGTCTGTCTGTATGTATGTATGTATGTATGTATGTATGTATGTATGTATGTATGTATGTATGTATGTATGTATGTATGTATGTATGTATGTATGTATGTATGTATGTATGTATGTATGTATGTATGTATATGTATGTATGTATGTGCATATGTGTGATGTATGTATGTGTGCATGTGTATGTATGTGCATGTGTATGTATGTATGTATGTATGTATGTATGTATGTATGTATGTATGTATGTATGTATGTATGTATGTATGTATGTATGTATGTATGTATGTATGTATGTATGTATGTATGTATGTATGTATGTATGTATGTATGTGTGTATGTATGTGTGTATGTGTGTATGTGTGTATGTATAGTAGGTAGGTAGGTAGGTAGGTAGGTAGGTAGGTAGGTAGGTAGGTAGGTAGGTAGGTAGGTAGGTAGGTAGGTAGGTAGGTAGGTAGGTAGGTGGGTGGGTGGGTGGGTGGGTAGGTAGGCAGGTAGGTAGGTAGGTAGGTAGGTAGGTAGGTAGTGTGATGCAATGCAAGCCAATGAAACGTAATGTAAGGCAAGATACTGTATTGTAATGCAATGTAATGTAATGTATGTAATAATAAGTTATAAATTGACTCGCAGCCACATATATATATATATATATACATACACATGCGCAAGCACGCATGTGCAAGAGGAATCCTCAACTTCGACAAGCATTTTTCGTCCCAAAGGCCCATCCCCTGCCCCACCTTCGCGAAGCACGCCCCTGCTTGAAGGGGCGATCGAGGCAGGGTGCGTCAGGCAAGTGGTTAGCAAGCCTGGTTAAAACCCACTTAGACTTAGACTCAATATCACCATGGATATCTAGGCTTGCTAACCACTTACCTGACGTTCTCTGCCTTGATCGCCCCTTTAAGCATGACGCTTTCGATCGGCGGTTCGATCCAAAGTCTCCCGCCTCCTCCTGAGAGAACTGGACTGCCTGAAGGCAAAGACTTGGCTGGGCATTTTTGCGGGTACCTAGGTCCTCCAGTAGAGAGGTTAGAATCATTTGGTGCCTGATTTTTGTCTGTAGTCTATTTTAGTAGGGGAACCCTCCCCCCAAAAAAGTGGGTGAAAAAGGGCACCTAGCTGGGGACCTAGGTACCCTTCCCTTTTGTTTTAACCCCGAAATTGGTACCATCAAAACAAGCCGCACCCATTTGACTTTCAAGGGAACCCTCCCAAAAAAGCTTACAACCCACAGGGGTCACCGTGTTTTCCATCAAGTTGCGATGCCGGTGGTGTTCATGAAACTACCACTGTTGGAGTGATCCACAAAGGGGAATGGAGGAACCTCTGCCCGTGGCCTTTGTTTTCACCTGAGTGGAGTGGCCAAAAGGTCCGAGGTTTGTCACTCAAATGGCCTTCCCCTCATATTTCTCCCAGTCTTGGCCGAACATATGTTCCCTTGGTGCCCTTCCAAAACCAAGCAAGCGGTCCTAACGTTGACTTGGCACACAACGCTGGCTGCGTTTTTGTCTTTCGCTCCTTTCATGAGCATCGAAACTGCGATTGTTATGACAAACAAAGCCACTTCTTTCGCCAACACGAGGACTGACCAGCCACACGGTCTAGTATTCTGGCAGTTTCCAAGTCACCATCCTCTCTGCCTTTCACGCCCAAACAAGGTTCCCTGTGTTACCCATTAAGCATCATGGCAAACTCGCCTTTGGCCCGAAAAGGCGATGTGTTACCCAACCGCCAAAACGCGAGGCGTGCCTCCTTTTCGGAGGTCCTCGGCTTTTCGGACACCAGGCGAGAAGCCGAAATATATGATTCTATATGGTGTGACTTTTGAGGTGCCCCGAAAATGGTCGTTATCCTGTTGGTTTCCTTAAAACTACCAAACAAAGAGGTGCCCTCAAAAAAAAAACACCCCATGTAGGTATGAGCCCACTATCCGTATTCATTGTGCCCCACCCTGACATGCGAAATTGATGAGTGCATCTCCTGGGCTGTCCTCATGTCAGATCCCCTGCTAAAAGTTGAGCTTGTGGGTAAAGCCACTAAACCAACTAAAAGCCTAAAAACCAAGAGAACCGCCAAGAAAAATGTGGGTACCCAAACAATGGTTAAAATCCGTTTGGGTTGTCCTCTAATGTTGACTGCACATGAATCAACCTCAGTTTGTTAATCTGGGGTGGAAGCCGCTCCAAAAGTGGTCTAAATCCCCCTGTGAAGCTGGGGTCAACAAAAGCAACTAAAAAAAAATGGAGTACCCAAAAAGACGGGTGAATTTCTCTTTGGTGTCCCTCTAAATCTAAAAGAGCTGGAAAAAAAGGGAACCCTTGTCCAGAAAAAAGAAAAAGGAAAAAGAATCGGTGCTACTGAACAACCGAGGCCATCGGAGAGCAAGCCTAGTCTCAAAGACCTATCCCCCGGGACACGTCACTCAAGCTCGCTCCGGCCTTCAGCGCCTCATCCTCTCGCTGGAAGACCTCAAGGCGACTGGTTCCCTTGTGGCGATAAACGATGCCTAATGTATTTGCAGGTTTAGATACGCGTATGTATATATATATATGTGTAATATACGTATATATGCATATATAGTTACATGTATATATGAGCCAGCGGCAAAACCTAAGACTACTTTGGGCGATTTCGAGCAACAAGTTATCGTTTTTGGGGCTTCGCTATATGGCTCTCCAATGCTTTTCAGGCACCTGTGTGCATATATATATATATATATGGTACCCCCCCCACAACACCCAAGAGAGTTTGACCGTATTTACAATACTTTTGGGTTATTTCCACCCTCTTTTCAGGCACCACACTGTCGACCCCAATTTTGACCAGCAAACTATGCCTGCGTCTTCACATGTGATTGCACTATCCACCGAAAACGCAAAAAAGCGCGGGGCTCCTGAAACGAGTTAAAGCGTGTTCATTCTCGTGGATCCAAAAGTGCATTAAAGCGCTTTAAAGCGTGTTGGGGGCCCCATACAGGGCTCAAGATTCAAGAACCATAGTCCTGGACATTTTGAATGTTAGATCCGAAAGCGCTTTGAAGTGCCGACAAGCGGCTGCTTTCAATATTTCCTGTTTGGTTGTGCACCTCATTCTTATGTTGGAATTGTGTGCGGTAAATGCAGTTGATAGTTCAGCATATGGACATTGGATACTTCAATTCTTGGAAAATGTTTTTTATTATTTTCCATGCCAACCCTTGGATATTGAACAAAACACTGCAAAACCAGTGTGTTGCATGCGTCTTAGTAGGTTTTGTGCAGCACAGATTTTGTTCAGGGAAAATAGTTGCTCTAGCTTGAACATCTATAAAGGACATTCCTACGAACATGCGACTTTTGCGGGGTCCATGCAATACAAGGTCAAAATAATGCCAAACGTCATTCTCTACGTGATCATGACTAAATTTGGCTTCAAAGCAGCCCCCCCCCCCCTCCTGTTTGTTTCACTCCTGCACCCAAACACCCACCCGACCTTGACGGATCATCCGGTCCTTTCCCCGATGCTGATGTCAAGGCACTGCATCGGTGTGGTTCTTCACCGTCTCATGCACAAAGTGGATCTCAGGCGCGCGCTTTCGACTCTCGCCCGCCGCGCGGCAATGTGAGTGGGTTCCTACTTGGTTGACGTTGGAAAGGGAGCTAAAATATAAACGCTAGCAGTTTTGTGGGGATTTCCCACTAAACCACAAGAAGCAAAAATGTAACATGTTTCCCAACGACAACCATCCTACCTCGTCGATATGTTTGGCTGAAGGGTCCTTTGGCACCTTGGAAAAGGTAAAACAAGCGAAAACCCATGAAGGTTCTGGTACCGGATGGGCGGAACCAGGGAAGAGGTGCCCATCTGGTTGAGTAAAGCTGTTGCTGCCATCCTCGGCAAAGTGAGAAAGTAGACCCATGTTCATAGGTCAAATTCATGATCTTTATGGAATCCCTAAGGGGTGGTGGTCCAAGGGGGAAGGATTCCCTAAGGGCAAGGTAACGTCTAAGGAGCCCCGATTTTTTTCTTGACATTTACGGAAGCCTAGGGATCTCAACTACCCCCCCCGGTAAAGTGCCTAGCCCCCGAATGGGATTGGGGAACGGTAGCTATAGAGACTGCGGGAGTGGGGGATGCCCGCAGCCCCTCTCCCTTCTCCTTTGAATCGGCTTCCCGGCAAAGACCAGCCAAGCTGGTGCCATTTTTTGGGTTGCTATGACCAACAGCCTGTAGTCTATTACATCTCTACTCTTGGTATGGTAGCAAAAAACTGACTGTTTTTTGCAGACCCCCAGTAAAAATGAACAGAACCAAACAACAAAAAAACCAAAAAACATGCCAAGAACAGTGAAGATTACCCTTCCTCCAACAACATGGCACCTGCGGGAGTGTACCTGGAAGATCAATTTCCTCTTAAAGGAACCCCCTGTGAGGTGCTATGTTAGTGGGACGGAGGGTACCCTTCTGGTTTAGCGACACCACCAAAGGCCTTTAAACAAGGGGTGCAAATATCGGTGTTCCCAATCCGCTGGGACCGGGTCTTGGCTCACGTCAACATCTGACATTCAGCGGCCGGCAATTTAAGAAGTCCATTGGGGAGACGAGTTCTACTATTAGGATGAATGGCTTGCTCTTGGGCGCATTCTTTTAGGGGGAATACTTTTGGCACACCGAAGTCTGATTGATGTCCTGGCTGCTTTGGCACTTACCTAATAAGGTCTCAAATGACCACCGTTTACCACAAAACAAACAACAAGTCCAGCTATCCCATACGGGCCCGTCTGTGTTTGACGGCACCATTTTTGGGTCGGTCTTAAGGGAAACTGAGAGGACACCATCCATTTGTTTTGTGCGGGTTATTCTGGTTAAAGACAGATCTTGGCAACTCTTGAAGGGAAGGTTTCAAGCGCCTGCCGCCATTCTATGCATTTGCTGCAACTCACTTCCTGAATTTGGTTTGCCACAAAGTGTCCAATTTTGGTCGCCAGTATGGTCTTCCGCAGTGTAGGCCCCGTTCTTCTTTTCCCCAACAGCTGAACGCTGTGGGGTCTCTACCCAAGTAGGCTCTGGGTGGGGCAGCTTCCACGGAAAGTTCTTGAGGGTTTCAGGAAATTCCGGGGCTGTTGCGGATACCATCTGGGCGAATTCCCATGTGTTGAATTCACATTCACGGGACCCAGTGTTTTGCGTTTCTCATGGGCTGGGGCATCGCTTCCTGCCTGGCCTGGAGTGGCGGCTCCAAAGCTCTAGGGGTACCTCCCCCATTCTTTCCAGGGATCCGAATCTTTCTAGAAAACCTCAATTGAAACCCGGGGAAAACGGATCCGGTTTTTGAGAAGAATGATGGTTGAAAAGAATGGAGAAGATATCATCCCCTAGAATTTGGGTGACGTCCTATATGGCTGTGGTTGTCAAAACCGTTTTGGGATCCCATTTTGGTTGGTAGGGGCACCACCCATTTTAGAACCTATTTTAGTGGTTGGATTGGTTGATGTTCATTGGGATGTTCACTGAGAAGCGGCAATCCAACAAGTCCAAAAAGGGACCCTCCAGGAAGCCTTCCCGCACAAAAACCACGGGCCAGGGCTCCGAGGTGAATTCAAAGAAAAGGTCCGGATGGAACCGGGGTGCTTTTTTATGCTTGGAATCACGAGTATCTAGTTGCTCACTGACTTGAGCCCAAAATGAGCAAATTCGACAGAACAAAAGCTATTGTGATGTCACTCAAGCAACACCGAATCTCCCAAGTATAACGTCCGGGAACTCAAGGTGTGAATCAAGGGGCTCTCTCGGAAAAGGCAAGCAAACAAGCTTCAAGAATCACCTATATACCCTGTACCCTGGTTAGTTGTTAAACCCATTTGCCCCAAGAAAACTGGGTGAACCTTGCAGGCCATAAAAGGTAAACCAACAACAGTGTCACCTTGGCTGCATCTGTTGCTGACTGAGAAAAGGACACCCACCACAACAACAAAAGGACATGCTAACCAGGACCAAACGCTAACACATGTGTGAAGCGACTTTCTTTTGGGCAATTTGGGGGCCATTTCGGGCTGGCAGGGTTCCATTTGTGGATCGCCGTAACTTAAACCCTTTTTTTTTTTTCTGGGCATATCAATCCCTGGTTTAAGAGTCTTCCTTTCAAAACTAATATGGCCCCCTGGCTGGCATGGTTGCTGCTTATTGAAAGACACCATTTGGACTGTTTGGGGACGGTTGAGTCACAATGAAAAACCTGGTACTAAAATGGTCTACCCACGTTTATGTAAGGACATTAAAGGCGGCCGAAACTGGGACTGCCCCTTACTAACCAGGAATTTAATTGTGGCTCAGCTTGGCAAAAAAAATCCCTTGGGGGATCCTGATAAAGCTGTTTCTTCGTTTTTTTGGCAGGGGCACACCAGGGCAACTTGCCGCAGGTCGCACTGACAGCGCAGATCGCCATATTTGGTGGGTCAAAAAATAGGTACCCAAAATTAAAACCAAAGACGAAATGAAACCAAAGACAAAAACCGGCACCCAAAACTTCGGCCTTCTCATTTTCAGCCACACCCATGTCCCACATCAAACTGGACTGAGCCCCCCTGCCATGGGGAAGAATCTCAAGCGCGGGCTCTGGGGATTGCCCACCTGCTCGGGCGTGTTTTTTTTTCCCCGACACCTCGGTCCTCCAGATTTGAGAGGTTAGAAGAAGTTGGTGCCAACTTTTTCTGTAGTCTATTTCAGTAGGGCAACCCTCCCCCAAAAAAGAAACGGTAAAAGGGCACCCTTCCGCTGGGGGAGCTAGCCTAACTGGCAAAGCCATTATTTTGGGGGAGCTTGGCCCATTTCAAGGCACATGGGTAGGCAAAACTAGGGATTCGTTTTGGGGACCCCAATGAAAAGGCTGGCCAAAAGGAAACAAGGCTCCCAAAAGGGCCACCTATTCTTGACCAGCACCCACATGCATTTCAAGGATCATACTTACCCAGACCCTCAAATTCGTCTTAAAAGCTTCGGCCAAGTTGGGAAGTGGATCTTCGGCCTCCTTCGCTAAAACCAAGGCGAACTCCACTTCGCGAGACTGACAAGCGGGTCATAACTGACAGCTAACAAATCGAACACCCAAATCGAACACCCAACAAATCGGGCACCTGGAAAAACAAACTTCGGTGAAGTCGATTCATTTAAAAACCCAAGAAAACTGGGCTGCCCGATTTCCGATCCCCCGCGAAAAGTGACTAACTTTTAGTGGGTTAAACGGAAACTACCACTAAACACTAAAAGCTAAAAGGCTAAGGGGATGGCTGGGAGCGACCAAGCAATGATCGCATCATTTGTCAACCTGGCATTAAAGGTGTCTACCCAAAATCCACAGAACTGCAAGCAGCGGATCTCAGCGATTTGTGCATGGGACTCCCTATTTTCACTTTTTCGAGGTCTGGGCTCTGATAGTGGATCACCTAAGGTCGGTTTTGACAACTAGGTCCTCCAGTAGAAAGGTTAGAAGAAGTTGGTACCATTTTTCTCTGTTTTGTCTAGTAAGGGAACCCTCCCCCAAAAAAGGGGAGAGAAGGGCACTACGGGGGGACCTAGATAAATAAACCTCATAGCTTGGGGCGAGACCCCTCTGCAACAAGTCGATTTAACTGTTTGTGGGTTCAATTCGGAAAGCCCGATGGATTTCAGCCAAAAGTCAAACTCTAAAGATCCAAGCGAATAGCAATCAAGATAGATACCCAAAGAAAGACCACGAACAGTTTTGCAAAAAATGGCTTGTTCGGACCACTGAACGGAGCAAAGGCACGCCCCTTGCTATGGAGAAAAAGAAGGCGAGGCTGGACGGGGATTTCTCGATGCTTCCTTTTTGTTTCGCCATTCGTCTACAGATCTCTCGGCCAATGGCGAGCCGTCAGGCTGGAGAAAAAGGCTTTAAGTGCTGAAATAAGACAAACAAAACACAGACAGGGCAACAAGCAAACCAACACATCTGTATGTTTGAATCCGATTCTGTGCTCCTTGGAATGTCGACTGGTTAGTGTTGTTGGATTTTATCATCTGTTTTGATGATTGGATCAATATAGCCTTTAGCCACCTACGGGAACCCCATGCTCCTCGCAGAACAGCGGGCCAAAATCTCCCCTCGGCTTCCCCAACAAAGAAGGCCTCCGTAGGATTCACGCCGGCTTCCAGCGCATGCTGGCGAAGAGACGAGGCTCGCAAAGGAAAGCCACCAATTTTGGGGGGTCGGGACTCTCTGCTTGGTTTACAATGGACACCAAAAGGAACACCTACTTGGGTAGAGCATTGTTGTTTTACTTGGGTGCTCGGCCCAAGCTAGAAAATGGTTAGTAACCCAAGCTGTAGTTCGCTTGTAAGAGCTAAGTATAGTTTGCCTTACCCGGGTGGCCAACCACTTAACTTTGCAACGCACATCCGAGGACTGTGGACGAAAGCCTGAACCAGTTGATAGGTGGTTTGTCCCTTCCTCCATTTGCTTGATTCCCCTGCAAAAAAAAATCCAATTGTAATAGTTTCCTTTTAAACCCAACGGGGGAAATCAAACAAACTATTCTTAACTGGGCTGCCCGATTTCCGATCCCCCGCTAGAAGTGACTAACTTTGAGTGGGTTAAATTCGTTGAAACTACCACTAAAGCTCAGTCGCCCAAAGGACCCAGAAATAAAAGGTGATCACCTTTTGGGGCCTTTACTAAAGATAGACCAAAATTGGAAATCCGAAAGGTTAAAAGGTCGATTCGCTTTGGGCAACTGAGAAACACTCAAAAGCTAACAAGCTCTGAGGAACCGGATGGCCTTCGGGAGCCAAGTTCAGCAAATGGAAGTCACAGGCTTTCCTCCATCCCTGGCGCTCATGGGCTGGTCCTTATCATATTGTTTGACGCATCCGCTAGATTGGAAACAAGAACACACACACATAATGTGTGTATATATATATATATATGTATAATAACTAAATGAATAAGCATATGAATCAATTAAATAAATAAGAAAACATGAATACGTAAGAAACAAACATATTACCCCTCGCCCAGAGGGAGACCCTCTTCAAAAAGTTAAGTTGCTGATGAGAAAGGTGGACAAATCGAGGACTACCAAAAGGCAAACAAAAAGCTAAGCTCTGCCTGGCAATGCGTTATGGTGACAACTTACACTTGCTCAAATATGACCACGGTCATGGCTCCCCTAAATACGAGCCCTAACCATGATTGTCCAAGTTTCGAAATCAGGGCACATAACCGTCCTACTCCAAGTAGGAGAGTTCTGACCATGGCACATACTACACTGACACCAGCAGCACCAAGCCAAAACCAGTACGTGCCATCGATGTTTTAATCGATTTTAGGACACCGATGTTCACACAACGGAGTCGACCTGAGTGTCAACTGAGTCAGAATCAAAAACCCCGCGGTACAAAAAGATTTGTTTACCCAGAACCATGCTTCAAGGATTAAGAAGGCCGAGATCCGCAGCTCTTTGTGGCAAGGGGATCACGTGGCCTCAAGGGGCCAGAGGCCTCCTGTTCGGGGACATAGATGGGCCTGGTAGATGAAACCACCAGGCAAACCAGGGGCATCGATTTTTCGACCAAAACCACCAAAAAGGAAACCCATGTTTAGGTCACCTATGTTCACACAACGGAGTCAACCTGATCAACTTGAGGTTGGAGACTGGAGTCTCATTTTGTCAAGGACTGACAGTGCTCAATGTCCAGGTCCTCCAGTAGAGAGGTTAAAATAAGTTGGTACCCGATTTTTTTCTCTGTAGTCTATTTTAGTGGGGGCACGCTCCCCCAAAAAAGAAACGATAAATTAGCTGGGGGACCTAGATGTGTTTGCGCAAGTCCTCAAGACTTCAGCTGGGGGTTGATTTGCTTTGGATTTGGACCTTGGTCCACCAGCAGCTCATGAGCCTTTTCTTCCCAACAAGTGCCAAGTTGCAGCCAGTGACCCGCACGGCAGAGAAAAGAACACCGCAAAGGGTGTCTCTTTTCTTAGAGTACTTTGTGTGCGTGTGTGTTTCTTTTTCTTGTATGTTCTTGTTCTTTTTTTTTTGGGGGGGGGTCGAAGGGAAACCAACGGTACGTTTAAAACAAAAAAACACCATTGTGGGGTCCCCTTAACAAAAAAAGGAAAAAAAGGCAACAAGCCCAACATAATTTCTAGGATGCCACTGAAGTACTGGGGGCAAAGGTTCTGCTCGTTGGACCTTGGAGTCTTCCGTTTTCGTTTTCTGCCGCTTTTCGCTGGGAGGGCTTTGGCTCCCTTGTCTGATGTTTCAAGGTGGCAGCACATTCTCAGATGCGCAGTGGACTTCCATGGGATGTTTTGGTTGGTTGAGTTTCAAGGGGAACCCTTCCCCCAGCAAAGGAAAAAAGGGCGCCACTGGGCAACTGGGTATCGATCGCTTGATCGCTTGTGGATCACAATCAGACATCAAACACCCAAGCAAAAACTTGGCATATTGACCATGGCACATCACAAACAAGCCATGTGCAAAATGGTCACGAACAAACAAATCAGGCAGCACGCACTGGCACCACGATCTCTCCCGCACCTTGCGCGCACGCTCCATCTGCTCATACCTCGCGCAGGCGTGGCGATCCGAGGCCACTGTAATTTCGCCAACCAGGGCGCCCCCCCCCCACCCCCCCCCACCCCCACCCCCCCCCCACCCCCCCCCACCCCCCCCCTATGGCTGTCAAATCGCCCCCGAATGCAAACAGCCCGAAGGGCAACCATTTGATAGCTGTTGCAGGGTCCTGAAAGCTGACATAAGAAGCCATCAAAAAGATCATAAACACTCATTTACAGTAGTCAACAAGACCTGTTTGGATGTTCAACCAACGTCAAGTAACCAGGGTATAGCAGTGGCTATAACTAAGGTAACCGGGTTGGTCCCCTTATACATACAAAGTTGGTTGAACGACAAAGTGGGAATCGACAATTTACCATGGGGGGGAGGGGCATGAACCAAACTGAACACGCATGGAAGACCAAGAGATCAACGGTGCCGCATTGGACAACTTGCAAGGGTCCCTCAACCTAGAGTCTCCTTGTGATTCGTTCATCATTGGCAAAAAGTTGGCGCAGATTTGAAACTCTTCCAAATCAACTGGCAGTTGCTCGCCTAAGCTTCCTTTCTACTCCCTTAGACATGGTGAGGTCTTGAGTTTAACACTGGGCCAGTGACCCAGTTTACATCATGTGCGAGTGACCATTTGTTTTTTCACGCCAAAAGTCCCCTCACGGACGGTTGAACTGGACCTTGGGATTACGCTTCCCCGTGCGCCCTGCGCGATATGCTCCGCCATGAGCGCTTCCAGCCACTTGTGAAGAAAGGCGCCGTTGCAACCCCTAAGTTTTGGAAATAGCTCAGAAGCCTGGGGTTCAATCAACCATTGAAACAAGGGAGGTTCATAGACCCTCCCTTTCACTAACATGGCTTCTGACAAACGGCTTTTGGGAGAGTAGATTGATCTTCCAGGTACCCTCCCACAGGTGCCATGTTAGTTGGAGGAAGGATAACCATTGCTTGTTGTTCAGGATTGTTGTTCTCCAAGCTACCGTTTTGAGGGGGGCTGCATCCTAGGATTTCCCTCATGTTCCATTCTGCAGAAGAACTGACCAGAAGGTTCTCAGAACTCTTCTACGAAAGCGTTTCTTGGTATGTGGGGGCCGTGGGGTTTTCTGTTCTTATTCTCGAGAGCAAATGCATCGGTTGGCGAGGCGCATGCGGGCGCGGCCATTGACCGTGTTCACCTGCATGGTGGTGTCGCTCAGCAGCCACAAGAAGCTGCCGATGGAGATCCAGCCGTTCCTGGACTTCGAACTCGAACTCAAAGCGCAACGAAAAGTGACGAGCCAACTCGATGTAAGGCAAAGGAAACAAGGACACCCCACAAAAAAAGGCATAGTTCGCCGGAGGACCGCAGAAACCAAGGAATTCCTCCAGTTGTTACCCATAAATTTGCCACGACTTTGTGGATGAGTATGGTTGGTTTGCTTGCCATAATATGGAGTGGGCATCCGCCGCAGCGCGCAGGCGAACGTCGTCAAAAACAACAAAAACAAGTCTGCGCGCCTGCGTTCAGGTTGACCATGAGCCGTGTTAAAGTACGTACACATGTTCCCAAAAGGTCGAAGGTTGAACATCGCAATTGTCCCACACATTTGTTCTATGTATGTTTCCAACAAGCAAACATGAAGGTTCAACCAACTCCAACCAAACTGCAATCAGACATCGTCTTTGGTTTCGGGGACCCCCAAAATCGTAGTTCTTCCTTTGGTTTTCCTACCCTAGAGAAGGACACTCCGGTATTTATAGTTTCCCAAAACTAGGTCCTGCAGTAGACGCGGTAGATGAATACGGGTGCCTTTTTTTCTGTAGTCATTTTTTTAGTAGGGGAACCCTCCCCCTAAAAAAGAAACGGTAAAAGGGCACTACTGGGGGACCTAGAAAAGGTGAGGCACGTTGCTCGGGTCCAACCAGCAAAAGGCACGCGGCACCGATCGATTTACTCGATTCGCACGGGTCCCGTCCTGTCCACGTCCTGGGAGTTGAAGGACTTGCGCAGGACTGCGATCTCCTGGCTGTAACTTTGGGCAGCCAACAGGTGATCGATCACCTTTCAAAGCCACGAAGCAAAAAAAAAAAGAGGCCAAAAAGTGAAAACCGAAAGCTCAAAACTCCTGATAGCTCCAAAGGGCTCCCCCTTTACTTCCATTTGGTTAAGACCCCTGGGAAAAAATACGTCCGGTAGTGATAAATTCCTTTTAAAACCAACAAGGGGAAAACAAACTGAAGCAAATGGAAGTGTAAAAGCGCAAAGTTGGATGCCGGCTCCCAGTCCGGCTGCTGGCTGCAACCACCAGCTAGAAACTTGGTTGCAGTTGACCCCCCTGCGAAAAGTGCACCACTTTTTGGGGGGTTAGTGGAAAACACCTTTATTTCAACCAAAAAGTTAAAGTCTAAAGATCCAACCCAATAGCAGTCAAGGAAAGGTCGAGTCGCTTTGGGCAACTCAGGGTTTAGTGCCAGGACATTGGACTCACCTCACTTTCTGCCGGGAAAGCTGATTTTTACCAGGAACATTTATATACCTGAGCTGAGAACGAGAGTTGCTGGAGTAAAAGTTTAACTTGTGGGTTAGACGGACACCCTCACTAAACCCTAACCTAAAAACCAAAGGAAATAGATGGCTGGAAGCCGCCCAGGCACTGATTCAACAGCGACTCGCAACACGCTGTTGAAAATAGTCCCCGCAATCTGCGAAACTTTCCCCATCCCTGTGACTTTGTCATGAGAGGGATTGTCTCGTGCCTCAAAGTTACGGCCCCCTAAACTGGCTGGTGTCCTCTTGGTTCCCTTTAACACCCAGCCAAAAAAGGGGTTCCCTATTTTGAGACGGACCCGACTGGGTATGACAAAATGCCAACCAAAGATTCCGTTTTCCACAACCAGAGACATTGCAGCCTGAGCATCAGCGCCTAGCTCCTCTTCCGAGCCGGCTTTGAGTCAGTGCAAGGGCTTCGGTTCTTGAGTCTCCGGTTCAGTGGAGCTCGCCGTGTTACTGGCTGTAACCTACCTGACGTTGGTGAAAGCATCCAAGTCTCACTTCCCAAGATGCTTCAACAAAAGTCCGAGCTTTTTGTGTGCCACTAAAACTAGGTCCTCCGGTAGAGAGGCTAGAATAAGGGTACTCTTTTTTCCCGTAGTCTATTTTAGTAGAGGAACCCTCCCCCTAAAAGGGCAACAGGACTACTGGACTACTGGCAGACCCAAGTCCGAAACGGAACTCAAGTGCGCTGCGTAAGCCCAGTGGCTTTTCCAGTCCATAAACTCGCTTCGCGAATCGATCCAACACTTCTCCCCGGCTGGAGGTCCGGTCCAAGCTATAACTCGCGCCGCCCTAAGTGCTTGGTTGACGTTGGAAGGGGAGCAACAAATTAAATTTGAGCTGAGTGGATTTGGATTTCAACCGCAGAAAACCACGGCAGAAATTGGAAAAAATGTTTCCCAACAACGATCATGAGTCGAGCTCGCCGTGTGGGTTCTAACCCAAGAGGCCTCTCAAATGCTCGGTGGATTTCCAGGCGAAAACCGGTGAATCGGCGTCCCCTTTTTTGTTGGTTGACTTCAAAGGAAAGGAAAGGGGAACCCAGTGGCCAGGGGAAAAAAATAAAAAATGGCATCCCGTTTCTGTTGGTTGACCTGAAAGGAACCGAAACCCTGACCCCAAACACCACAGAAGGAAACACCGGGTAATTACCACTGGGCAAAAAGAAGACAGAAAAAGGCTTTCTCCACTTGCCGGCCACCCGGCCACGTCCAAGGCTCCCAGGTCGGTTGTGTTCCGATCCCGAGGGCCTGGAGGTCGAAGTGGGCGTACTTCCGGTTCTCCACGGGGATGGTCTTCCGGCAATAGTCCGCCACTTTGAGGAAGCCCTCCCAGGACAAGGAGGGCTGCTCCTTCCGCGAGCCCACGTCAAAAAATTTCTGCCAAGCGCCTGGAGTTTAATGGGTGAGGTGGGTGCTCGAAAGTAAACAGGAGGGGCAAACCGCAGGTTTTGGTCCATGTTTCCACTTGCCAGGGTTCCATTGGTACCGGTTTTTTGAGCCACAGCCAGGTGTCAAAATAGGACAAGAACATGGTGTTTCTTCCCTTTGGTTTGCCTGAAAAAAGCAAACGCCACAGAACCCTATACAGGACACTCCTTCCACGAGGTTCGGAACGTGACTTTTAGAACGCGGAAATAAGAGGCATGTGTCAAACATAGGACCCCGAAATCGTGTTTCTTGCTTGTCTGAAATGGCCCAACAAGGGAGCCGAAGCAACAAACACAGAACCATATGCAGCAGGGCTGTGTGAAATGGAACCCACTTCTGCGATACAACAAAAAGGTGCCCCAAAGACTACCCCGCCATTAAAAAAAGGGGATTCCCTTGTATCACAGAAGTGGTTGGATAAACCCCTTGATCCCACCACCCTGATAAAAGCCTAAATAAAAAGCGGGCTAAGTTGTACGGGAAGTTCGCCAAATAACCACAAAACACAGGGGGTCGGGCCAACTTCCTTCAGGATCTCCCGCTGGTTTTCTGAGACGCTGCCACAGATTTGGACACCGCTGCTCGCGGACCCAACGGCACTGGCGCTTGGTTCCAGCGACGTAGCTATGAGCCATGGTCCCCAAAAAATTGGTGTCTCCAAAATTGGGGTCCCCAAAACTTGGGAGTAACCTGCATTTCAGCGGTAGTTTGGTGAGTGTTCCCAACGCCACCCCGTTTTACCAAAGAAGATGACAGTAAATATAGACCGTTCTTCTTGCAGGCTTTACAGCCACTACAAAACCGGGTAGCCAAGCCACCTATTCATATGGCCGGTTGCTGCGCATGGTGCTTCTTCTTTCAATACCCGGCGTTCACCTCAACCGCCACAAGAACCGGACACTTAAACGTGTTTCTCATGGGATAACTACCTTATGATTGCCCTCACTGAGGGGACCGTGAACCGAATAAGTTTCCGACCCATGGACACAAAGACACGAACAGCCTCTGGATTTCCCTTGTGAAGGTCCAAAAAGGAACTGGAGGGATCCATTTCTGATGAAAGGAAAGCACTCGAGGGCGTAAGTCCTGGCAACACATATCAGGACAAAATGAACTACGGGTGTCTGAAGCCGTTCCCTCAGCGGGTTAGCGGGTTGTAGCTTCCGGCAGCTTGACAACTCGGCCAGGAGTCAGCTGACCCAGTTGCCCATTTCTATGGACGAAAGTCTATTAAGCCAACTCTTGGAGACTCGAGTCCTCCCTGGGTCATTCTTGTCTCAGCTGCTAGTTTGACCAGAGGCTCCAAGCACCTGAGGAAGTACTTTGACCCGGTTAGACCCTCGCACCTCCATTTCAACAACTGGGTATGTGGAACCCCCAAGAATGGGTGGTGTTCTGTTGGAGTCCATTTCACCCAAGACCTGAACAGCTTCCATTTGCTTAAGCCCCCTGGAACAAATCAAACGCATATTTTCAGCCGTGATGGATTCCCTTCCGCCCACCCAAACAAAAAACAACAACACAGACTTAGGCAATGGAAGACATACCCCGAAAGTTCCACACGGCCCGACTCACGCGAGAGAAGCAAGCCCGCAACAGCTCCTCGTCGTAGTCGCCCGACTCCTTGACCAACTCCAAAGCTTGGTTCAAGATCTTGACGTTCGGCTGCAGCTTGGCCAACTGCAGAGACTGATGAAAAAACTGACCGCTGTTTGCAGCCCCCCACTAAAAATTGAAAAAAAAACCTTAAAACATAAAACACAAAAGCACAGCTAGTCAAAAGGTGCTTTACATGGGATGACCACACTAAGAATGAAAAAAAACGGCTGAGCAAAAGGTCCTTTGCATGGGATGACCATTGGGGAACACCACAAAATAATGTTCCACTAAATGAGAAACATTACCCATGGTCATTTGGAGGCCAGTTGCTGTTGAACCCTCTGCAACAAGTTTAACATACTGGTGACCTTGTGGTTCCAATGGTTCCCAAAAAGTTAACGTCCAAAGATCCAAATTAATAGCCTCAAAGCATTCAGGGCAGTGTTTTTGCTATGATCCAAGTTGAGTCACACTCAAAACCTGGTATTAAAATAGTCAACAAATATCCATGTAAGACATGGCCAGGCGGTCGCACCCTGGCTGGCACTGCCCCGTGCTAGCCTTCATCCACCCGGGCTTTGGAGTTGCCTTGTTATTGGGATATAGCTCGGTAGCCTTATCCATTTATTCACTTGGCCGGCCACCTACTTAGCTTCAGGGGCTGGGGTTCGTCCCCATATGGGCGTGTCTTAAAATAGGGGGCCCCAGAACAATGCTGGTGGCACTTTCGTCTTCCTTTTGGATGGGCCCCACAAAAGACACATCCATATAAGCATGCTTATAAACTACTTATGAAGTTGGCTGACCATCCAAGTTCCAAGTGCAACCTACAAATCTAGGGGAAGCTGTGCCATTCCTTCCAGGCATCCTTCTTTTCAGGACACCATCAACAACCCAGGCATAGTAGGTAAGGGGCCCAACCAACCACTAGGTCCTCCAGTAGAGAGGTTAGAATAAGGGTACCCTTTTTTCTGTAGTCCCTTTTAGGAGGGGAACCCTCCCAACCAAAATAGAAATTGTCAAAGGGCACCTAGCTGGGGCACCAACCAACCATTTGGGTGTTTTCCTCTAGTCACAGGTATACTAGGTACTTGCAACTTAGCAAGTGGGTTACAACCATGGTTGAGACTAGGGTAACTGGGGTTGCAGCCCTTAGAACCATGGTGATAACCTGCTCACTACGTTGGTTGAACATCCAAGTATTAGGACTACTTGGGTGTGTTTAAACCCTAGGGTTCAACCATCAAAATAATTGCCTTGGGACTGATGATGACACTCCTTAGGTAAACAAGGGTGTTCGATTCTCCGAGCTACTGTGGATGGCTCAAATCCTGCACCACCTGAGAAACATTGGAATGATGATTCCCCTGCAAATGCCACCCTATAATGGTTTCCCCTGGTTTCAAAGTGGTGCGAAACGGATTTCGTCCATACACAGTAGTAAGGGGACCAAGCCACCAGCAGCCGGCCCCAGTACGGCAAGGGGACCAACCTCAGCTACCCTAGTTATAACTACAGTTGTAACCTACTTCCTCAGTTGGCTCAGCGGCAACTTGGTTGACGTTGGACGGGGTGCAAAAAAAAATAGCAGTTAAATGGTTGGATTTCCCACTAAGCCACAGTAAGCAAAAATGGGAAAAATGTTTCCCAACAACAACCATGGTAAGGAGCCCAACCAAGCAGTCGGATCCTTTCCCCCAGCCGGCCTCCAGGATCTTCGTCACCTCGCTGGGCGTGGCGTTCTGCCGTGCGTAGAGCCGGGAGCGCGCGTAGGCCGCCGTGTAGGAGGCCAAGGTGGTCTCGCGCTGCAGGCGCCTCAGCTGAGGTCTTGTAAACCCAAAAGGTCCTGTTGGTTGGTTGGATATGGTTGTTGTTTTGCTGTTTTGTCGTTTTATTGTTTTGTTGTTTTGTTGTGGTTGGTTGGTTGGTTGGTTGGTTGGTTGGTTGGTTGGTTGGTTGGTTGGTTGGTTGGTTGGTTGGTTGGTTGGTTGGGTTGGTTGGTTGGTTGGTTGGTTGGTTGGTTGGTTGGTTGGTTGGTTGGTTGGTTGGTTGGTTGGTTGGTTGGTTGGTTGGTTGGTTGGTTGGTTGGTTGGTTGGGTGGTTGGTTGGTTGGTTGGGTGGTTGGTTGGTTGGTTGGTTGGTTGGTTGGTTGGTTGGTTGGTTAATTGGTTGGTTGGTTGGTTAATTGGTTGGTTGGTTGGTTGCTTGCTTGCTTGCCTGTTATTTGGTGGGTGGGTGGGTGGGTGGGTGGGTGAGTGGGTGGGTGGGTGGGTGGGTTGGGTGGGTGGGTGGGTTGATGTTGGTTGTTGGGTTGATTTCGGTCGGTCGGTCCGTCGGTCAGTCAGTCCGTCAGTCGGTTGGTTCGCTGGCTGGTTGGCGGCTTGGTTGGTTGTTGGCTCCAACCATTTGTTTCAACCACAGTGCTTTTCGAGAACCGATCGCTGCCTCCAACCTGGGCTTTTGATGGTGTCCTGAAAAGAAGGATGCCTGAAAAGAATGGGAAAGCTTCCCCTGGCTTCGTAGGTTTCGTTCGGAACTTGGATGTGCAATCCAACGTCAGGTCAGGTTACAAAAAATGGCTACAAGGGGAACCACAGTTGCCCTACTTGTAACCTTGCCCAAGGGTGACCTGCTTGTTGGTTTCCTCTGTTCGGTCCATTTTCAGTCATGGGCCCAAATAGAAGAACTACTTCGTCAGGTGGGTTACAACCATGCTTAGACCAACCCCAGGTACAGTTACAACCACGGTTGTAACCTACCTGACGTTGGCAACGAACATCCAAGGCCATTCGTAAACCCAGGTTCGAAGGAAGATGGTCTGGCACAGCAGCTGCTCGTGGACATAGGGGAATCAGGTCCACCGATTCCTTCTCACAGAGGGGTCGTGGGAATTCACACCATTCTCCTTTTAAGGGACCCAATCCCTTGTCAGGTTTCATGAAACTTGGTGGGAGGGTATCCCCAATAACCCCAAATCACATCGAAAGGGACCAAAAGGTGACGCTTGAAACCTCCAAAAATGGAATTGCAGCAGGCCTTAAGGGCTTGTCCTATGAAACTTTCCAACCCGCAATCCACAGCGGCCAATTGCGCAATGATTTTCAGCCGAGGGTTGTAACCCAGTGAATCAAAGAGCTCTGCCCTTGTTGGGTGGCTCGTCTTCTTTGAGGAATGGGATCCCCCCAAAACAAAACCTGGCAAGGGTGTCCTTGTGGTAAACCAGCCCAAAAGCAATGTGTTTTTCCCTGCAAAAAAAGACGAGCCACCCTGGTTCAGGTTTCTGTTAAATTGGAGCTGCTTTTACACGGGCTGCAGAGAAAACAGAATCCCAAGCAGTCCCTTCAGCGGCAGCCGCAGGCACCCCTAATTTGCCCTCAAAATACCAATTGTCAGTCACAAGAAACAAACCCGCCATCCCAAACCCAGAACAGGCTGCTCAAGCCTTTTCATCGCTGAAGTGGCTCTGTGGTTACCCTTCTCCTCCTTTGGGGGTCGCCAAGTTAGTATGTGGTCAGTAGCCCAAATCATATACTCAGAAAACAGGCCTGGAATCAATCAAACAATATCAAGAGTTCGGGTTTCGTCTCTTGGCTAATCCGTTGAGCAAAGGCGCATCAAACGGAGGAACTCGTTTTTGTCCATGGTCTTGTTCCCATTGAAGTCCACTCTCCTCACAAGCGCCGAATTGCTGAATCTCCGACACCTTCCGATGCCGACAATGGGACTTCCAGAAGAGGAGGTGTCCGACTTGGATTCCCTTGAAACAGCGAAAACAATGGCACCCGTGACACAAATACACCACCTTAAAATCCGTTCGCGCCCTGCACAGTGCTTTCGCTTTTCGTTTTTGTTTCTTGGGAGCCCCGAGAAGGGGGTAAGCCTTTCGAAACAATGACAAGCCCATACTGTGGATGGACGAAATCCTGTACCCAAGAAGCCCTGGAATGATTCGATTCCCGTGGTAATTACCAACAAACAATGGCTTCAATCATGCATGGATAGAACGTGGTGCGAAATGGATTTTGTCCATCCACAGTATGAGTCACCTGCTCAAAACCGATCGGTATTGAAATGGTCGATTCCCGGAGCCATGAAAAGATGGAAGAAGCGGGAGATCCGCAGCTATTTATCGTTCGGATTGTCCCTCATCTCTACTCTTGGTATGGTAGCAAAAAAGCCTTGTTTTTTGCAGAACCCCAGTAAACATGAACGGAACCAAAAAACTAAAAAACCAAAAAACATGCCAAGAACAGTGAAGCCCTGACTAACCTTCATCTACCCCAATCGGTTTTGAGCAAGTGGCTCATATGCCGATTGAAAAAGCCCTAGCAAGAGGATCCATGGGAACGCTATAGCCCTGAATGGTCTTTCGTGGCTTTTGCTTTTGATAAACGGTTCGTGCTTGGATCAGTGCCGCCTCTTCCAGCCTTCCAGAACCCATGGCAGCACGTTGGCACATGTGCACAACTTGTGCCCTTAATGTCCTGGATCTTCACCTTGCAATGCTGCATTATCAGCTTGCACACGTTGTGCTGCCGCTGCGATCCTCACTTTCGTTCTTCATCAGCATCGGCACACGCCCAGCGCAACCCCGCGTGCTCGTGGAGGCTGACAGGCATCGGCACACGCCCAGCGCAACTTCGTGTGCTCGTGGAGGCTGACAGGCATGCTGCGCGAGCCACAGAGCTGCATTCAAAACCTTCTGCTCCTTTTTGCCTTTCAGTATCGTGCCTCACTGCTTCACTTCATAGTCACATGCTTTCTAAGCACGAATGCCCCGACCTATAACCCTTCCAAAAACAACCCACCTCGGCTACCCTCAGATCCCCTGCTAAAAGGAAATAACTTTTAGTGGGTTAAATGGACACGACTACCAAACACTAAAAAGCAAAAAAAAAATGGGGGCTAGGTCCTCCAGTAGAAAGGTTAGAATAAGGGTACCCTTTTTTCTGTAGTCTATTTTAATAGGGGAACCCTCCACAAACGGGAAAAGGGCATCTGAGCCACAATCAAAACCTGGTACACAAATGGTGAACCCAGAACCATGTAAAGAATTAGAAAGGCGGATTCCCGAAACCATTTCCGGCTGGGACTGCCCCTTAACCTTCCTCTACCCGAATCGGCTTTGAGCAAGTGGCTCACCTGGCTGGGGGACCTACAGGGATGGCTGGGCAACCCCTTTTCCCATGGCCCCTGTTTGAATCTCCACGTTCCACGAGCTGAATGAGTGTCCAGGGGTGCCAAATCCCTTGGACAAATGAACGCCTGAGAGGCCTGCTGATGTTCATACCCCTCTCCCCAAAAGGGTATATACCCCTAAGAAAGTGGGTTGGAAACCACAGAAGCCAAGGGGTATGAACAAGGGGTATGTACTTCCACCCTTAGACAGTTGGACAACCACAACGTGCCAAACATGTGTGCGTTGAAACCGTGGCCAGAGACAAAAAAAGATCCCAAATCCGGTGCATGGACGAAATCCTGCACCTAAGAAACCCTGGAATGATTCGATTCCCTTGTAAATTACCAAGCAAACCATGGTTCCCCGTGGTTTCAGAGTGGTGCGAATGGATTTTGCAACCATCCACAGTAGGGCAGTGGAGACCCCGGGGTGTGCATTACTCGCTTTTGCTAAGGGATCCTCAAGCTAAGAACCTTTGGGGGGAGTGTTTGCGGTCCTCTTTTACCCGCGAATCGCTTGGTTCACACAGTTGAAAAACCCATTTGCTGAAGTCCTATGGGGGAAAAAACAAAAGGTTTCCAGTAGTGATGCATCCCCCGATAAAAAAAAAAAAAAAAAAAAAAACAGCAGGGAAAATTAAAACATATTCTTAAGCAAAGGGAAGCGAATGATTCATCGTTCTCTCCTGGGTACTTGGGCTCCGAAAGGGTGTTGACTGCTGGGTTTGAAGGATACTCACTAGACGGAAGTCCTTGGGAAACAGAATCAGACCCCTAGATGGAACCAAACTGTAAGCTCAAGGCCTGCAAAAGGTGCCCCAAGGAATGTATATGAACCTGTGCTCTGGCAATTGAACGCCTAGTTGTGGCAAATCACCCTTGATACAAAAGCCACTACTTTGTTACAAGGGGATCATTATATATATCATCATTATGACGGAGAATCGGGCGTTGAAGCACGACGCGCCCCCACCCATTTCTCGCATCCAGAAGAAAATATTCATTTGACCGAAACTTCAAGCTGATGTCTGTTCAAAGGGGGGTGTCCCGCTTTCTTGGTTTGGCTCCTTCCAGGTATCTTTGAACCCACAAATAATTCCGCGAATATTTCTTCCATTCGACAGCCACGGGGGACAAAGGTGTGTTTTTGTTGGCTTCCCCAAAGGGTTCCTCAAACATCAGCTAGTGAAGCAGGGGCTGTGGCGCAATGGCAGCGTGCCTTGGTTGTTGTGACTGAGGAGGTTGTGGGTTCAAGTCCTACCAGCCTCAATCTTGTCCTGACGGATTTTTGTCACGGTGAAAGTGGATGGCAGTTCGCACGAGGGGTACAGCGGGTGTCTGGGGCTCCAAAGTGATATACGAGCCGGCAATTCAAAAAGCTATTTGATATGAAAAGTCCCAGGTGGGTTTTGAAGAGGCTATGTCACCTCATGGGTTGCGGGTCCCTGGAGAAAAACAGGACGGGTCATGAACATTTCTGTTGAATTTCAGGAGACGCCAGGAAGAAACTTGACCTAAAAGGGACACTTGGCTATGCGTCCAAATAGGGGAACCCGAACAAAGTGTGTTTCTCATTTTGAAAAAAATCAGAAAAACACAACTTGCGTTTTCCATGTGCATTATAATATATATATATATATACATATATAGATATTTATATATATATATATATCGCTTCCCCTTCAGGCACCCTTGAATAAGACGCCGCGCGAGCCTGGTTTGAGCTCGCAGAAAAGGAATCTCGCTCGGCTCCTCACCATGCTCTGCACCTCCTCCACGGAGCTTTGGAAGCCCATGTACCTACCGCGCGCCACACGCCACCAAGCCGCGGAAACCTACTTTGTTTCTTGGCTGGAAAAAAGGGACCCCAGCAAAACATTGAGATATGTTTTGCCTGGCTAGTGGAAAACAAAGGGGACCCCCAAAAAGCAAATAAAAACAAAAAGGGGAGCTGATTGTGGGGGAGCTTTGTTGCATCGACCAGAGGCTACAAACCTTGAAGACCTAATGCGGTTGTAGGTACGACCAGGGGTGTGAATAAGATATGTTAATGGCTCGACAGGGAACCTCGGCGGTGCCAATGCACATTGTTTGCACCAGTGATTGGTGGTTTATCCCAATATTCATAGGAGCAACTGGCATTGCGTCCAAAAGGTTTGCGGAGCCGGCCGTGAAGAAAATCCTGGTTTTCCAAGCCACCAAGTAGCATTTGCCTGACAGAACCCAAGGCCAAAACCACAGAAGGGACAAGCAACCAAACACATGGGTCACTGGATTTCCCCTCAAAGAAAATGAAAGCGAGCTGCATTCAAACTGCCACTTGTGGAGATCCGACAACAGAAGAACTGACCAAGACAAATGGCGTCCAACGGATGTCACTTCACAGTTTTGATAGGCGTTCGGGCGAAGTAACTGAAAATGGGTTCACTCTTGGCACTCCTTTTGGGCGCGCCTTTTTTCGGGAACCCTGTTTTGGTGGTTTGCAAGGGAAACCAAGGGGAAGAAAAAACACGCGGACCACTGAGTGCACAGCAAATCATATATCTTCTAGTTCTGTCTCGTTAGACCAGTGGCCCCGGGGAAAACGTGACACCCTTTGCTTGCTTGCTTTCCAAAGGATACTGTGGATGGACGAAATCCTGCACCACCTGACAAACCCTGGAATGATGATTCCCCTGCAAATACCAACAAGCAATGGTTTCCCATGGTTTCCTAGGTGGTGCGAAACGGATTTCGCAACCATCCACAGTATTGCCCCCGGTAAAAACAGGGAAAGCCAAAACAAATTGAGGTTCAACCCAGAGGTCTGCGGTGGACACTGACTTGGAGACTGAAGCCAGCCAGATTTGCTGAGAAAAGCCAAATCTGGCCCAACGAGAAAACTACGCATCTAGCGGTGTCCTGTGTTTGGGGTCCCTTCGGTTGATCTGAGTACAAGAGAACGAGGAGTTGGGTACCATACGCTAAGTGCTACGCACCTCGTATGGCTTTTACATCTAGACGCGAAAACATGTTCCGAGTCCCCGAGTGGCCTCTGGAGGATCCAAGCCGGCCCAAAGGATCCAAATTGATCCAGTTGGCCATGGGTCGAAAACCCGTAACCCCAGTGAACATCCCAATCTTCACTAACATCAGTTCTAAAACGGGTGGTGCACCTACCCCAAAATGGGATCCCATTGGTTTTGAGCCACAGCCAGTTGACTTAAGAGGGGTTGCCCTCCATGAAAAGATGACAGATGCCTGGAAGTGGCAAGCCACCGGAGACCGAAGTAACGGAGAAACGCCCTGACTCTGACAGAAAGCCATCCTGGGTCGTTCCACATGCTCGGAGCCCCGGTGTTTTTGAATTCGGCGGGAAGGCTTCCCCGAAAACCCTTTTTTGTGGGTTGGATTGCCGCTTCTCTAGGGGTTGATGCCCTTCCCATTCTGTTCCACCAGCGTTCTTTCCAAAAACCGGATCCGTTTTCAACCTCGGTTTCAAAGGAGGTTCTCTAGAAAGAAACGGCTCCCTGGAAAGAACGGACATGGAAGGACTCCTAGAATGTTGCAGCCAGCTCAAGTTTCGAGTGTCCCACGATGTCCCACTTTCTTTCAGGCTTCTGAATCGTAAATCAGGGGAGATTCACATAGGGGCGAAGCGAAATGAGAATGGAAGGCTTTTCGGGTATCATCAAACTAAGTCATGTCCGTGGGTCAAACTCATAGTGAATTATCTGTATTGCACTCCTGCAAATTGACATGGAACCCAAAAAAGAGTCCTTTTAGAGGAACCTCCCTTAAACTGCGGAGTACCCCGGAATTATAGATGTGGGTATGGGTCAAGATTAAATCACCAAAAGAAACGCAGGTTGTAGTCCTTGTTTCCATGTACCACGGCAACCCATTTTGGGGTTGCCCTACGTTGGACCCACACCCATGCAGAAAGGGGCGATTGGGCACTTAGCCATGGTTATAAGTCTAAGTGGGTTACCTGACGTACCGAATCGATCGCCCCTTTAAGTACTCCCCAAAGGCAAACCCACAGGAAAACTAACACCTTTGTTCTTTCTTTGGGGGGCAGTTGGGTTTTACGCGCAACCTGGGTGGCACGTCTGATTTTGGGGCACACGAGCAGCTCCTGAACCTTCAGATTCTGCAGCTCTCCTGCGATGTTCTTTTCGTTTGACCAGGTGATGGGTTTTGTGGCCTGGAAACCAAAGGCGAATTGGCAAACCAAATGGTCAAAATGCACCGGGGCAGCATTGAAGTCTACAGCGCCCACAAAGAAACACACGGGATTTGTATTTCATTCTACTTCCGGAGCCGACCAGCCACGCACGGCCAACACTGAACCGTGCGGAAACAACTGTTTACTCGCGGACGCTTTACGCAATGCAGATTCATTGAAAAGGAAAATACACGACTTCTGATGCCTTCAGTCTCGGCCTACCCTCCACATATTTATTGCCAGGCACTGTTACGTCACACCTCTTGGCTCGAATGGCACGGAAGATCGCGTGGGGCAAGTGCCCAAGACAGGTTGGGGGACATAACCCGTACTCTTTGATTCCAAACTTCACAATGCCTGCGACTATTCGGTCACTCTGAAGGTGATGCCCTAAGGGAAACTGACCCTACAACCGCACTAAACCCCCACACTGCCACGTCCTTACAGAACAAGTTTGGTAGCTCCCCCCAGGCTCCCTCTTTCAAAGCACATTTGGATACGGCTTTGAGTCCCGCTCCCCAGGGCATTGTACCTCGGTAAAAACTCCGTGAGATAGCCCACGTATGGGCCTGCTTCGTCGCCCTTCAGCGTCTTCTCACCAGGCGTACTCCCGACTTGACGTACCGACTTGACGATTTTGGCATTTTGGAGAAGAGCATCACCCCTGGAATTAATTCCATGTGTGGCTCCTGTTAATGTTGACCCCGGATTAATAAACCAACCGGTTTATTAATACGGGGGTGGGGGCCCCTCCAAAAGTGGTCTGAATCCCCACTAAAACCGAAGACACCCCCATATTAATAAACAGGTTGGTTTATGCAAATCCGGGGTCAACATTAGACTACAAACATGGAACTGGGGGGATCCTTTGTGGCCGGGGGATTTGGACTGGAGATTGCCGAATGTTTGGTAACCCATTTCCCTATGCTCAGCCCAAAAGACCCGGGAACAAAATGTTAACCTTCTGGGACCTGTACTAAAAACACCAAAAAGGGGAACCAAAAGGTGAAAAGGTTGGCTTTGGACAACTGAGTGTGGGGAAGACGCCTGGATCGCCCCTTGGAAGGATTGGGCCCGAACTTGGCCGTGCCTGTGGTGTCGGAGAAGCGGTGAAAGGCTTCCTCAAGCTCATCCGCCTCCTCCTGCAAGCTCCAGCGAACAAAGCAGCGCCCCCAAAGCACCTCCTTCAAAATTCCAACAAAAAACACATTGGAATTCTTGCCGCATGTCTTTTTTGGGGCTGACTTGTCCTTTTTTTTAGGGGACAAATGGCATTGGGTCAAAAATAGGTACCCAAAATAGAACCATGGTAAGCGGACACATGGACGAAAACGTTCCCCTGCATACCCAAGTTGCTGTTGCCGCATATTTTTTTGGGGGCTGACTTGTCCCTTTAAAGAAAAGAAAAGGGGGTAGTTTGAGGGTCCGGGTATACGTTTTCAGGGTTCTCAAAAAGACGTTTTGGGGGTGCTTTCCCCTTGACAAACACGCGTTTCGAGGATAATTTGCATATTTTTGTCAATTGGGTTGGTCTTTCTTTTGAGGGTACCGTTGTGGGTGTGTAAAACCCTTTTCAAGGCAACCCACTTCCAGTTGCCACTACAGACCAGGAACTCTGCCAGGTTCAACATGGTTTCCTCTGGGTACCTACAGTCGGCTAAAGGTAAATGGCTCAAATCCAACTCAGTCTGGTTTATGACTTACCCAGGAAACTGTGCCGTCTACTTTCTTCCTACTCGTGTGTGTGTGTGTGGCCAAGTTTGTAAGTTGTTAGTTTCCTCGATTATAACCCGCTTACATGTTCCCCGTTCAGTGGAGTCAACCTTGTCACTATGTCATTGTTGGGTTATACCACAAGTGGCATTTTCTACTTACTAACTTGGCAACAAAACTTCCACTTAATTTACTATAACAGCTTCCCAACTGGGCAAAGATCCTTTCAGGTTTGGTCCTTAGGGTATCCATGAGAAAGTGAAGGGGATGGGATCAGAGGTATTGTCTGCATGATATCTTTGGTTCCAAACCCGGCGGTTTAAGCATGTCTTTGTCAAAGCCACAATAGTCAGCTTCCCAATTGGTCGTTTGGAGCGAGCCGTGGTTTGGTGAGGGTCAGTTCTATCAGGACGTTCCTCAAAAGGACAGTTTCGAGTATCCCTCAATAGCCCCTGAGACAAGAACCCCATAGTAGAAGAGCACCCCGAGATTCGCCCCACTGGGCTCCAAACAGATCCGTGCCCATTAAACATCACCCTGACAGGAAGCTCAATCGAATTCGGTGTCAGCGTGCTTCCCCTTGAACTCGTGCTAGAAGTCTGACCCAGGTTGCACACTGCCGCCCTGAACTGGTCTCCATGGGATGGGTCAGCGAAACAACAAAGAAGGAGAGACACACACAGGCCACACGGCAAGAACTCGGAGCAATGGTGAGCACCAAATTTTGTCCAGCAGCTTTCTTTACATTATACATGTACATCGACGTAGCCAGCAGCACCCATCGTGACCCTAGTCAATCTTGGCAGAGGGTTGTGGCATGGCGGTGCTGGTCTTACTTCCCCGCAAACTAACAAACACGAACCCGCCCCCATCCCCACAAAAAAACAAACAAACAAACAAACAAAATGCGATTTATAGAGGAGTCTCTTTTTGGGAACCCTACTTAAAGGGCGATCGAGCACTTAGTAATTAAGTGGGTAGTAACCATTGTTATACCCCACAAAAGTTGTTACAAGTGGAAGTGGGTTATAACCAGGCTTACTAGCCACTTACCTGACATGTCGAATCGTGCGCCGCTTTAAGTAGGGGAGTAACATTGACCAACTTACATGGACGTCCTGTGTGAAGCCGTTCTTCTGCTGCACGCCTGGAACGGCGGGCTTGGCACGCGAGACTGAGCAAGCCCTTTCCACGGGTTTCCGTTGCTTTTTTTCACCTTCCAAGCCCTGAGGTGACCTTGTAAAACAAAAAGCCCTTGACGAATCGGTCTCAAAACCCATCCAAGTGGTTCTCCCATCGACTTCTGGCCATCCAACCCACAAGGCCACCTATAGGCCAGGCCGAATGGGGGCTCCCGGGCAAGGATCCACACGGAGCTTCGATCAGAGCAAGCGACTTTGGAACCCAGTTGTGCCATTTTTTTTGTTTTTTTCCTCTCGGAGTTTACATGCTTTTGCCTGGTTCTAAAGGGAAGCCAAAAGGCAAACCACTGATTGTTTTTTTTTGGGGGGGTGCGATTCCTTAAAAAAATAAGACACGCCCTTGCGATAGGACCTTTGACACGGTTTGGGTCACTCCAAACTTGGGAATGCACACCACCATGGCAACGGCTCCTATCCGGGGAAGTGCCCACCAACATTGGCTGGTTGTTTGTTGAGCATGGCAGATGTGGGGACGCTTGGCCATTGTTTCAAAGGACACATCAAGCCACTTGGATGCAGACCACTGCTGAGTATGTCCCACTTGCCTCAGGCGTGCCACGTTGTTTGATTTGTTGGAGAGGGCCGCCCTTTGACATCAAGTACCTAGCAAGAGGGCTCCCTTTCTTTTCTCCCATAGCCACTGGGTCTCTGTGATTTGGCGCCTGGGATGTTGGGAGCACGTACTTGGAACCTGTGAAAGTCGCTTCGTGCACGTGAAAGTATGTTGAAACGAAATGGGGCCGTTTCACAAGGCACAGTTGAAGATCAACCAACCCACAAATTTCCCACTGCCACCTGCGGATGTGCCGAGGCGTCTCCCCCCCAAAAAAAAATCCACCAAAAGTTTTGCCCCGCACAGGCCACCGGCAAAGGAACTGCGGCTCAAAAAAGGGAAGGTATCCCAGGATTTTGGGGGCAATCACCAGCTTTTGAGGGAGTTGTGAGGGTCCAGGTGTTTAGATTATGTCTCAAATTTCGTCTCCCCTAATCGAATAGTTTGGGAGGAGGCCCCAGCAACATGGGGTGCCTCCCCAAGTGAGGATTCCACAAATAAGACAGCACTGGATCAAACTTCTCCGGCAGTTCTGCCTTGCCGACCATGCCATAGTGGCCCCGGTGGTAGTTCTTTTGATTTTCCCCTTGAAACCACCCAAAAGCAGGTAGCCCCAAAAAAAGACACACCCGCCTACAGCTGAAACAACCCCCTTTTTCCCGTTGAGCGGTGGCCAGGGTTTGTTGGTTGTCAGGGTGACCCTATAGGTTCAAACTTGGTCCCCCAAGCCTTCCACTTGCGTTTTCGCCCCCAAACAGTTTCCAGTAGTGATAGATTCCCTTTTAAACCAATAGGGGATATGTAAAATATTCTTCAGCAAATGGAAGAAGAGGACATGGGAAAAGGAGTGAGCCAACTGGTTGGGTCAATTCGCAAAGTTAGCAACTTGTTAACCCGAGTTGCCCGGTTATACGCCGATTGGTCTGGATTGGGGGTTTGGGGGCTGGAACCCCTGATTCTTCGGCCAAGTAGGTTCTAGGCAACCTAGGTTGTAAGCCGCCTCATAAGTCATCTAAGTGGAGTTGACCTTCTTACTTGCTTAGAACCCAGGTGGCCGAGCATTGCATGCCCTTGCTAATTGGGCAACGAAACTCCAAGTAGTGAGCAAGGCTTTATGTTGTGCGCACACACATTCTGTGAGTTCCACCATGTCTCTCCCGAATCAACCATACATGGCATGTTTGACCAACTGGGTGTGTCCTTATTTGAGGCTCCCTGTCGTGGGCTCTTTTTGAATGAGCACAAACAAGAGGAAATCAATTCATTTTTTTTGGGGATACCCTATTTGGGTGTGTGTTCAATGGGGGACTCTTTGTTGGACATCACTTAGGTGGGGGTTCACGTCCAGCAACAACTTTTGGATCGGTGCTTCCGAGTAAAAGTTAACTGCTCTGTATGGGTGTGACGTATCTTAAAATAGGGTACCCCACCCCCGAACTTGTGGCGTTCCCTTGCATTTCGCTGTTTTTCAAGACCATTTCGGGGACACACCCAGCAGTCTAGCCGTATGTTCCTGTCCCCGTTCCCGTTCTGTTCCCCATTCTCGCTGCAGTTCCTGTTCCCATTCCCATGCTTCTTCGCCCCCGGGAAAAAATGAAAACGTATGTCCAGTAGTGAAATTGACTCCAGTAGTACTGTGGACGGACGAAATCCTGCACCCCTCTGAAAGCATGGGAAACCAATATAGGTTGGTATTTGCAGGGGAATCGACTCATTCCAATGTTTCTCAGGTGGTGCGAAATGGATTTCGCAACCATCCACAGCATGGCCACGTTTCTGACGCAACTCGACCACTCGATCGACAGCGGGCCTTGAAGGAAGCTCCACGCGCCCTGGAACTCGATGTCATCCTCTGGACTGATGTCCTGCGGAAATCGCTGGCTGCGGCGCGCTCGCTTTCTCCTTCTTCTTTTTTTGGGGGAGCTCTCCTCTTGGTTTTGTTTTTTTGAAGGGAAACCACCATGAGTACCTGCAGTCTCCTTCTTCTTCTTCCTTTTTTTGGGGGGGGGGCACTCTCCTCTTGGATCTCTTGGTTTTGGTTTTAAATGGAAACTAAAAGGAGAACCTGCGGAGCATGGAGGCCCCGCAAAACTGATCCATTTGAGAGAAACTCCCTTTGAAGGACTCGATCTGTGAACAGAGTCCATGGGCTATGGTTCAAATAACTGTTTATACAGCTCATCGCCTTCAAATCACGATGGTAATCTCCGTTGCCCAAAGGACAGACAAATTGAAGGTCATCACCTCTTGGGGCCATGACTAAAACATGAAACATGGATCAAAAAGGGGAAATGGGGGAAACCAAAAGGTCAAAAGGTCGGGTTTGGGCAAGTGAGTAATCGAAATGGTTTTCAAAATATTTAGGATTCTTTTGGTGTGGCCAATTTGCGCTGCCCTTTTGCAGATTCTTCTGGGTGAGTTGCCACACACACACACACACAAAGGGGGTCAAAATTAGGGATGCTTGGTAGTTGTTCCTGTTCAACACTTTAACACACCGCTCAGGGTTTCAATCATGTTTGTTGGACCACCAGTGTTTGCCTTGCCATTTTGATGATTGTGTTCATCGTTGTGTGGATTGTAAGGAACACCAAACCACCCCAACCATGCCTTGTACGTTGCCAAACGAAAAAAGGGGGGCTTCCCGTGTGGGCATTTTTGTGGGGCGGGCTTCTTTCGGATCATCTCCATTTAATTTGCCGCAGCTACAGCCTAGAAGGAAGGGCGTGTGGATTTGTCCCCGCAAATTATCCTTGGAGTTGTCCAAAAATGATCACTTCCTTTAAAAGGACCCCTTTCGGAGCCCGCACATGGCGCCTTTGATATTGGGGGCAGTTGGTGACTGCATGTCAAAGTTAAGCAACTCTTGCAAACGTGTCGTTTCGTTCTGACAGGGAGCCGTGATGTCACCAATCTGCATGGGGATTGCGAGGTTCCGAAGATGCCGAAACCAAAGCGTCCAATTGTCCAATGGATCAATCGTCCCATGAAAGGAACATTTTTGGGGACCCCTGCCCTGCAACAAGCGACATAATGAACAGTACGCTCGAAATGGTGGTTTAAGCGGAAACTGGCAAAAGTAACTTCAATCAAAATGGGTGTGACAAAAAACGGGGGGACCCACACTCTGGCGGCTCTTGTTGGTTTCCCTGTACATCAGGGTGAAAAGGCCCCCCCAAACAAAGCAACTAGCGACATGGACTTTTTCGGGCCCAGGGCCCACGCGCCAAAACCCCGCGCCAAAACCCCGCACCCCCCCGCGCTGCAGCTCCTGTTCTGCCAGCATCTCCTCCCACTCGGCGTTGGACAAGGTGAAACCCAAAGGCTTGCCTCGGAGGCTTCGAACTCGAACTCGAAAAACATCGCAGAGGTCGAACCGAATCAAGGCGACAGCTTTGGCGCGCCCAGGGACCAAACCAGTGATTCCAGTCTGGTCAGTAAAACAGGGATCCGGATGCATTATACACCTGAACATTGCCTTGTACATGGTGGTGTCCCTTTTTTTTGGGGGAGGGCTGTAAAAATGTATCTTTTAAGGAGCCCTGTAAAAACTCAAATGCAAAACAGTGTCAAGAAGGGAAGTCCAACACACAAAAACGTGTTGATCCGGCTCGGATCCCCGGCGAAAAGTAAACTTTTTGCACTTGCGGCGTTCAATTCGGAAACCCAACCACTGAACCAACTGAACAGCTCAAAAGCTTAGTTGATGCGGATGGCTGGGAGCCACCAAGGCGGATTTCAGGAAAAAACCTTCACCTGAGCCTGTCCACCAGTGAACTGGGCCGGCGGTGCGGATCTGGCAAACTGACGCCTTGGTGAAAGCCGGAAGCAAAGTGAAACCAGGGAAACTGCATCTCTGTCTCCAACACACTGAACAAGCAAACCGCAAACCTATGCTCCAATCTGTTCTACCCAAGGATTCCAAGCAACAAACCAAGCCAAGAGTATCTCAACGCCGTCCGTTGGACTTCCGCCCTCCAGGTTCTATTTGGACAAATTGCCCCAAGGTAGACCTGAAGCCACCAGCGTGCGCCGTTTTTTCCATGTCCAAAATCCCAAGTGTCCCAAGAGCTGAGGGCCGGCGGTTGATGCAAGGCTCCCTTGCACCCCAAAGACTTCGGATGAGCCCAACGGAGGGGAGAAACTGAAGCACCAGGTTTCATTCAAAGGCAAGCCCGCCCAAAAACCGAGGGGGGGGGTCTTGGTTGACGTTGGAAGGGCAGCAAAAAAATATTGTGTAGCAGCTAAGTGGGGATTTCCCACCAAACCACAATAGGCAAAGATGTAAAATGTTTCCCAACAACCATCATGGGGTTGTGTGTAACCAATTTTTTTGGGGGGGGAATCGGGAAACCAAGCGGAAACCCTCCTGCTTTGGGGTTCCGATTCCTATAGGGAACCCTGCAAGCCCCATCCCCCCCCCGTTTCCCCCAACCCCCCAATCCAAACCCCCCAACCCCCAACCCAAACCTTTCCCACCCCCAACCCCAACCCACCCCCCAAACCTACGCCCCACCCCATAGACCCCCAACCCAAACCTCCCCCAGAGGCAAGGGGAGTCACAATCCTGGTCACAATCCAAACCCGGTATGAAAATGGCCTACCCAGAACCATGCTTCAAGAATTAAGAAGGCGGATATCCGCAGCTGTTTGTGGCAAGGGGATTGTCCCTTACTAACCTTCATTTACCCGAATTGGTTTTGATTGTGGCTCAAGGGAGATCTTCAGCAAAGGCGCAGAACTCCCGAAGTTCTTCGCCCTCGATGACCCCGTCCTCATCCTGGTCCACCTGAAGCGGAAATTCTCAGATGGCAAGGCCAGCATTCACGATGGTCTCGCTCATGGCTAGTAACTGGATCCACTGGGAGTTGAAAGGGCTTAAATCATTAACATGGTTAGGGATAGCTGAATTTAGTGGGCAGTACAGGACATAAATAATTGCTTCTTTTGGTTAGAGGTAACTGGATGATTTGTTCTAAGGGCGTTTTCATCATTGACATTTTGTGGGCGACTTGAAACCCCTTTTTCAAGCAATGGTCTTCGGGGGATGGATCACAGTATCGTAGATAACCAGCTATTTGTTTTTTGGCTTTTAAAGCGTGGCTCCCTTGGTTACACATAAATGGCTCTGCTGGGATAGTGAGTGCTTTGCACGTTGAGCCTTAAAGCATGGGGTCATAACCTAAGAAGTCATGACCCTGAGGATCCTGGACAAATAGCCAGGTACTGCCATTGAGCCGCAGTCACAAGTATGTTAACCCATCTGTGCCATGCTTAGAATGTTTTCAGATGGGTGTGTCTCTTTCTAGGAGACCCCCAAAATGGCTCCGGTTTTCCTTTTGGTTTTCCTTTAAACCAACTCCAAAAGGGTAGCCCTCACAAACAGACAGACACACCCATAGTACGGCCACGGCCATTACCAAATTCCGAGGGCAAGACCGATGTGGCTGGTAGATGGTGGGTAACTACAGAGTCATAATAATCAAAACCCGGTAGTAAAATGGTCGGATACCCAAACAGTATTGGAAATGGAAGGTACCCAATATTCTGGGATACTCAATATTGTTTGGAATACTGGGGACTTGCGAATCGAGCGGATCATACATGGGGAAGCCATGGAAATGGACGTGTCCCCTAGATGATGGGATATTGCCCCTCTCAAAAACCAGGAAACCCACAAATTGGAGATACCCAAAGAAAATATGGGAAGCTACTCCCCGAAACCCACCAGCGCTCAAATAAAAAAACCTCCGTGGCGCCCGCGCGTTGTCGAATTCCTCCGAGGCTGCCAGCAGCATCATGTCCTTGCCAGCATGGCAAACCAACAAACAAAAACACTTGGGGGTCTTTCTTTGGGGAAAAAACCCCTCTCCCCCGCCCCCCCCCCCCCATCAACAAAATGAAGAAACAAAACACAGAACAACCATCAAGTGGTGGTGTTCCTTTTGGTCCTCCTCTAAACCCACCAAACAAGCGGTTTTTTTTCGCTCAAAAACCGTATGACACCCGCTGGGATTGGCCCAGTTCGGTGGAAAAGGCCACACAGGTTCTACTTCATGGCTGCCTCAGATCCCCTGCTACAAGTTTTTAACTTCTGGGGCAAATGGAAACCACCACTAAACCCACTAAACACCCAGAAAGCCAAGTTCAATCAACTGGCTGGGATGTTCCAAGTACTATAATGGTACCTGGAAGCACTGGGAAGGTGAGCTCCACTTGGGACTTGCAAGCGGGTTATAACTTACTCAGCTGAAGACCCAAGCATCTTGGCCCTCCGGGCACTCCATGATGGAAGGTCCCAAAGATCGGTCCCCAGACCCTATTAGGCGTAAGGCCCAAAAAGGTCCCAGTGCGGATGGACGAAATCCGTTTCGCATCACCTAAGAAAACCTGTAGTGAATCGATCCCCTGTAAATACCAACCAAAAAGGGTTCCCAATGCTTCAATTAGCCAGTATTAGCCCCCAGTGGGACCGAGTAGGTCTTTTGGGGAGCCCTTGACAACCATAAAAGAAGGGCCAGGAGAAGTGGCGGTTCTTAGATTCTTCACCGGAACATTGCCCGCAGACAAAAGCCTTGTCCTATTACTCAAAGCGGACTTAGTGAGTGGGTAATAACCATGGTTATAACCCACCTACCATGTTTTGTTCAGTCTCAAAAGTGCGTTCTAACCAGGCTTACTAACCACTAAGTACCAGCTTTCCCCACCATACCTACATCTACGCCTACCCCTACCTACATCTAACACCTCCCCTACCTACCCTACCTAAAAGAGCATTGCACTTGCTGGGTAAGAGCCAGGTCATGTATTGCATTCTTTGGTTGGTTGAACTTGAAGGCTCGGCCGGCTCGGACGGCACACAGTAACATCTCCTTCGTGCCCGTTGGGGGAAAATTAGGACCCCAGCAATAGAACTCGATTTCTGTTCCGTGCTTGGTGGAAAACAAAGGAGACCCCCAAAAAACCAAAAGTCGAAAGGAAAAAACAAAAAAAAACAACTAATTCTGGGGAAGTTGGTAGCCGGCTCAGAAGTGGCAGCTGTTCTTCAGGGTACCCACAGATGACGTGTTCGTGGGATGAACATCGAAATGACATGGACAACATCCGCTTCGCATCAGCTAGGATGATTCTTAACCAGTTTTCATATGGTTTCATGCATCCAAATTCAGTCCATCCGCAGGTCCCAACTCCAGGTGCTTAACCCGAGCTCCACCGGTGGGATAGGACACATCCCTCTTCCTCAAATCTGGACACAGCTCCATGTTTCTCACAGCCCAAAATGCCAAAAACAAACAATAGGTATCCTCACTGGCTGAGTGGATGGCCCAGAAAAAGTCCAAACTTTATATTTATATACCACTAAAATGGTCTTTCAAAAAAGTTCAAAGTTCATGAACTCAGGAAGTGAGTATCATATATTAGATAAATATGATTGCCGGCCACGGCTGCCATACCGGCCAGCCGGCCGGCTTTGTCATCGGCCAGCCGGCCGCGGCTGGCTGGACCGGCTGGCTCTATGTGTATCTATATTCCTATCTGGGTATCTACTTTTTGGATCCTATCCGTTCTATCTATATCATCAAATCTGTCTCATTCCCCGCTGGACCACCCCTTCTAGAGCTTCCAAAGACTGCAAAGAACGATGCAACCTCCTCTTTTTTGTTCCCCTTATGTTTGCCAGGGAATGGTTCCGTTTTCTGCTCAACCCATTCGATTCTCATTTTCCTCTATGCGGTATCCAAGGGGTTCCCCACCCTTCAAAACCCACCAAAAAATGAATTGAAGAGCTACTAAGTTCCCAAAATGGGGATCTTAACGGGCGGTTTGCTTTTGGTTTGCCTCTAGAACAACCACCAAAAGACCAAAAGACCAAAAGGCTGCCGAGTCTCGAAAAACACACACAGGGATGCCCCGATGCCAAGTCGCTCGGATGCGTCTGCAGCACACCAGGAACCTCGAACGATTCGCAGCAGGACGTCCGTTCGTTTTGTCCGGCCCGAGCCGATCGGTTGGCCCATAAACCAGAGGGTATATATCATGGGGGCGGGGGGGAGGGAGGGGGGGGGGGAGGGAGCCCAAATAAGGCCTTATTAAGGGCTTAACAAGGGATTATTTGGGCTCCCCCCCCCTCCCCCTCCCTCCCCCCCAGCCCCCATGAGTACATCTTCAAAAATAACCTGTCTTCCTTGAAACGTGTCATTCCAGCACCCACGAGTTGGATAACCGTGTGTGCTGTCTTTGTATGTATGGTTCAGTCAGAGAAATATAGACAAAAACAAGCATGCAACAAGGGCTTGTGTTTGGGTCTGCTTAACAAAATTAAACTTGTCTGTACCTGGAGTCTCCATGACCCGTAAAAAATGGGGTCATTACCCATAATAATGGGGTCATTGACCCATTTTAGAGGGCCATGGAGACTCCAGGTAGAGGTGAATTACTATAACGCACCTTGTAGTGCACCTGTTTTATCGGGTGGGCTCGCCTTGCGCACAACCTCCGTGGCGCAGCTAGCCAAGAAGGTAGCTTCAAGAAGCCCTGATCCCAGTGGCCCTGCTTGCGAAACAGAGAGAAGTCCATTGGCGGCGAGCGCTTCCCTTGCAAGAGCTGTCCTGCTGCAAGACCTGAAGCATCTTGTGACCGTGCTCATCTTTCTCAAGAATGAGGTGCGTCTTGAAGCCCGGGCCCTCGAACTACCCGTTAAGGGATGCCCCAACTCGGTTACCCAGCTTGGACCCAAGCTGATCTGATCAGCTTGGCCATGACTCGAAATGCACCAAACAGGCAGAACCAGAAGGTCAAAAAGTCAGCTTTAGACAAGCGAGCCACAATTCTGTGTGGGTTTCCATGTTTACAGGGTTTGAGGGTCCGGGGAACCCTTTTTGACTGCACCTTCAGTGGGTCCCGAACCACCAATCACAAAGGCAAAGGGCTCAAGGAGTTACAGGGCCGATAGATGCTAACTCGCACATATGCAATCAGTACATTTCCTTGACAACATCGGGTGATAAGCCCTTGGTTACCATTAATGTCAACCCCGTACTCATCAACCCCAGTTTATGAATAGGGCAGTGTTCCCCTCCAAAAGTGGTCTGATTCCACCCGCATTTCACCCAGGCAGAAGCACTGGGACCCCTATTGATAAACTGGTTGGTGGATTAAGCTGGGGTCAACATTAGCGTATGAACCCCCATTGTTTTATTGGTTTTGTAAACACCACGGGATGGGTGGAAATCAACCTGGTGTCTGTGTCAAAGGGAACCAAACTAGGTCCGCCAGTACAGAGGTTAGAATAAGGGTGCCCTTTTTTTTCTGTAGTCTATTTTAGCAGGGGAACCCTCCCAACCAAAAAAGAAACGGTACAAGGGCACCTAGCTGGGGGTCCTAGCAAATGTAGTCACAATCAAACCCGGATTAAAATGGTCTACCCAGAAGCATGCTTCAAGAATTAAGAAGGCGGCCGAAACTATTTCTGGCTGGGACTGCCCCTTGCTAACCTTCATCTACCATTTGGTTCAGTCCCCTGGAAGAACTAAACATATTCCAGTAGTGATAGATTCCCTTTAAAACCGAGAGATGAAACTAAAACATATTCTTTCGCAAATGAAAGTCATCTACCCAGGTTTTGAGGAAGTGGCTCAAACGTGGGTTGTGTAAATGGATCCATCCGCGCTGGGCGCTTGCGTCTCGGCCCCGACTCATCGACTCCTCAACTCCGAGTAAAAAGATCTCCGAGGGCTGCGCTCGAAGAAGGAGATGGGCGGAGGCTTGTCCAACTGAAACGCGGATTTGAGGACAACCCTTACAACCCCAAAGGGAAAACAAAACAAAAAGGACTAGGATCCAGATCTCTTAGCTTCCCCAAAGACTTCGGAACCACCTTCCCTCCAAATTCCCTTCCCATGGAAGGTGCTTGAGCACCTTCGGAGTGCGTGCGTGCTCCAACTTGTGAGGGAAAAGCCGATCTGCAAGTACTCAAATGGCTGAGTCAGAAAAATCGGTACCCAAATTGGAACCCTAGTAAGTGGAACCATGGACCAAAACCTGCAATCCAATTCCCGGTGGTTTAATCTTGACCCATACCCATATGGGGGTTGATCAAAAGGGCCGTAAAACACTAAAAACATGATATGCTCCACATGGGAAGAAGTTACCCATGGTCATTTTGGGGAGAGGAATATTGATCAACCCCCAGAAAAAACACAGTGGGTTTCCATCATTTTTTTTGGTTTGGAGCCCGGTGGCTTGGGTTTACCCACAAGAACCAGGTTCAATTCCATCCAAACCACCCATCCAAACCACCAATTCAGGGTAACCTGAACATAGGCACGGGCAAAGCTGAGACTACGGATGTCCTTACGGGGTATCTGAGGGGTAGGCAAGGGACAAATTAAGGGTCCATTCACAAGGGCCCATTAGATTTTGCCTAGACAAACAGCATGGGAGTCAGAATCTGAACCTGGCAACAAAATGGTGAATCCAACACCATGTAAAGAGTTACCAAGGCGGCTGCGTCTCATTTTTTGCGTGGGGGGGCATTCTGCCCTTCCCCAAGAGGTTGAGTTGAGCTTTTTAACACCAACAAACCTCACCAAGTCAACAGGTGATGGCCAAGTTACTTCCTGAGCGGGCTGGCCAAAAAAAGTCTGAACTTTATATTTACCACCAAAATGGGCCTTCCCAAAAAGGACTTCTAACCCACTGAACGGAGACACACGAAACCATCGCTGTTGTGGGTTCTAACCAGGAAAACTAACCTGGGCTGCCCTCAAATCCCCCGCTAAAAGTTAAACTTTATAGCGGGCTAAATGGAAACTACCACTCAACGCTAAAAAGCTAAAAGGCTAAGGAGCCGGATAGCTGGGAGCCACCAAGTAACCATTTACCAAGTACCCTGCCCCTTTGCTTAGTGGTCAAGCATCCCATCGCGCCTTCAAGTGTCTAATGACCCCGGCTTTCCGATTTCTTAGGGTCCTTGGCTTTGGGATCCGATTTCTGGAGCCCTCACGGAGAAAAATTGGCCCGTCATCCGAAGTCAAGGTCAAGTGGCAAAAGGTCAAGTGGCTCATAAAAAATTGTTGGGCCCAAAATGGGTTGCCCTGGTAAATAGAAAGGTAGACTAGAGAACCTGCGGTTCGCCCCAGCTGTTTCATTTTGAGCCACACCCAAATGGGTTAATTTACCAGTGGAACAGTCCACGTAAGAGGACGGGTGCATGATTAATCCGGGGTCAACATTAGTGTCAAATGGGTTAATTAACAAGTTTCACAAGCTTCCAAGTGAACCGAAAGATTCAGAAAGTCGACTCTTGCGGGTTCAAATTCCATTGCCAAATTGCAGGTGTGTGCTTCTTTGCATAAGTTTTGCCCATCCTTTCCCGAAGATCGCACATCCTCCAAGTCTCAAACCGCCCGACCCAAGCCTCTAGCGTTGAGAAAAACGAGCACCTTCTAGTAGAAGTTGAAGATTACTCGATGGGGTTCAAACATGTTCAAACCATTAAGACAATCGTTGGGTTCATATTTCACCCCCATTGTTTACCTTTGGGTTGTCATCATCCACATTGGGTCAACCATTCGTTGAATGGGGGTTGAACCCCAGGGTTACTCTATGGCTTGTTTCCCCATTCTCTTTCCCCATGCTTCTCTTTAGAAACCACCCAGTGTCCTAGAAATTCGGCAAAGTGTTGGAAGAGAAGGATCTATGAAAATCACGCGGAAGCTACGCCTAGAATTGCAGCCCCCCGCCCCACCTCTCCTATGGGCATTCACGATTTTTGGTGTTGGGCGGGGGCCTGGTTGGGGCCTGTTGTTTCCTCATGTGAAAAAAACATCGGGGAAACATCATATGTTTAGCCTGAAATTCAGGCAAGCCACAACTAAAGCCGTGTTTGGGTTCGTACCATTTGCCCTTCAGGATTGTCATCATCTAAATCGGGACCTGGCCATGCTGTTCATGTGATTTTTTTGAACCTTGAGGTTTATGCTTAGGGCCCCCTGGTTTTACCGCTTGACTTTGTTAGAATCAGACTTCGACCTGCACAAAAAAAAAGAGAAGCCCGGAAGGGGGGCGTCTGCCAATGTTTTGCGTTTAAGACAAGGTCTGTCTCAGAATACGGGAGCCTTCTTTGGACGGTTTTTGGCAACCCCAAGCCAACCAACCACTTGGAGTCCCGGATTTGTATCCAACCACCGGGGGGAAACTGATGATAAGCTCTGTAAAAATGGATGCCTACGCAAAATGGCAAGCAAACCGACCATACTCAAACACATAACATTGTTTTTAAAACCGTAAGCTAGAGGTCAGGGAACCAGGACAACCCCTAGTTTGCCGTAACTTACCACGTGTTTCCTTTTTGTTTATTCTTTTTTGTTTTTAGCGGTATGATTGGTTTACTTGCAATCGATTCTTCGTTGGCGCATCGGTAACCCAACGGGGACCCCGGTCGCCTCCATGCTCTCCTCCATCTTGTCCAAGAGCTCTCTGAGCTGTTCTGCGCCTCGCAGAGTCTGCGGAAACTTGCTGGTCAGTAAAATCCGTGAATCGGGCCCTCCAAAGGACAGATCTGGCACCAGATCCATGGTGCAGCGTGAGCCTCTTTAGCACATGCTTGCAGTCTAAGCTGCCGAACGCTGGCTGGTCCTCTTGAAACACGAGAGTGCCAAAGGGAAAGTAGGGAGCACGAAAGTGACGAACTGTGCACTCCTCCCAAAACTTGCCCTGAAGCTCACCACTGGTGATCAGGCCCAGCCCTGCTGCCAAAATTTTGGTGTTGCACACACCAGCGCGAATGCCGAACTTCTACTCGGATTCGGGCAATTTGCCCGCTGCTCCGACCCAAGAGCATTCTCTCCCGGAAGGAATCCAAAGCTATCCTAGGTCCTCCAGTAGAGAGGTTAGAATGAGACCCTTTTTTCTGTAGTCTATTTTGGTAGTGGATTTCTCCCCAAAAAGGGGTGAGAAGGGCACTACTGGGGGACCTAGTATCCTTCGGGTTGAAGGTGAGGAACCAGCTTCCCAGTTGCTTGGCTTAATAATTTGGAGGTGTTCAAAACAAGGAAAGTCGTTGCGGAAAAGTCCAAAAGCATAGGCCGGCCCCCTGGTGACCCCACACTGTGGATGGACGAAATCCATTTCGCATCACCTCAAGAAACCATAGAATGATGATTCCCCTGTAGTGGTTTCCCATGGTTTTAAAGTGGTGCAGGATTTCGTCCAATTTGCAGTATTAATCAACCCCAGTTTAATAGGGGTGCTTTTCCCCGGGTGAAATGTGGGGAATCAAACCACTGTTGGAGGGGACCCCTATTGATGTTGACCGCATATCAAGCAACCCCGTGCTTAGGCCCCCTACCTTGTTTAGGCCCCCTAGAAAAAAAAGATGTCCAGCAGTCTTCGGTTCCCTTTCAAACCAACAGGGGAGAAAATGACCACATATTAATTTCAGCAAATGGAAGAGACCCTTCTCCAAATACATGATTAGAGTTAGGCCCAGCTATAGAATGTATAGTTTATTTTTTGCTTCACTTTGAGTCACTGGTAACATGTAAATTGTCTCCTAAGTCTACCCCAGTCATAATTTTTGTCATACTTTGTCAACCTGGCATTGAAGGTGCCCACAGGGATCCTTACATTATACACCAGAACCTTGCAACTTGTAAATGGTGGCTTCCAACTTTAATTTGGCGTTGAAAAAACCAGCAACATGCTTCAAATGGTTTCGCAAAATGGATCGATCTTTTTTCTGGAGCCCTAGCCCTTCTGCCTATTTAGGCTTATCTTCCATTTGGTTGAGAACCCTGGAAAAAATGAAAGAACACATGTCCAGTAGCGATAAATCCTTTTTAAAAGGAGCCCTGCAGGTCTTCCTTTTCTCCAGCTCTCCAGCTCTCCAGGCCGGCTCTCGGGCTGTGGCAGTAGAGCCCGGCGAACTTCAGCAGGCCGGTGCACAGCTGGGAGGCCTTGATGTGCCTGGGGGGCGGGGGGGGGGAGGAGGGGAGTCGGGGGGTGTCAGCGCAGGCTTGAAGCCTCCCCCAAAGGACCGACTCCTGAATGAGTTCTGCCTTACCCTTCCTGATTTTATGGGTCTTTTCGGCAGAAAAAAAGGAATCGGTCCTTAAGGATTTCTGATTTCTGCTTTACCTTCCTTTTTTATGGGTGATTTCGGCAGACAAAAAGAAGGAATCGGTCATTCGGGGGTCCTTTGGGGGGCCAGCCGGTGGTACGGCTGAGAAAACAACAGGCTGAGGCTGCTATGAATTAAGAAACCGCCCAAAATGCATTGATTCTATGAGCCAAACATGCCAAACCCAAGAAGTCAAAGGAGCAGGTACTTGGTTGGCGGGTCGGTTGGTGGTTTGGAGTTGGATTGGAGCCCCTGCTTCTTGTAGAGGGTAGATGGGAAACCACTCCGTACCCACCAAACCACGAATCCAAACCACCAAATAGGGGGAAGCTGAAGCTGGTGGGTTGACAAAACGCCAGGTAGGAAAAACACAACGGGAGAAACAAGCAACTAGGTGCAACACACAAAACAATAGAGAACACCTCAGGTGGTTGGATGCTGACTTTGTAGTATTGTGTTATGCTGTTTTCAAGCAACACAGCTCTCGAGAAGTTGCTTGTTTCTCTTCGGGGAATAAAGTAGCGCTGGTGTGATTGACGGCCCCTTCCGCGAGCAGTTGTTTTTGGCGGCTGGGGAAGAGACTAACGATACCTTCGGGCGCATGGACGGCGGGAGGAGGAATGGATCGAACGAAAAAACACGAGCATCTAGACCAGGGCGCTGTGGGAAATGGACTCCACTTCTGTACACCATGGCTTCTCAAAGACATGTTCCCCCCATTTTTTCAGGGGGAGGTTCCCGAAAGTATCAGAAGTGGCTGGGTAAACCCCTTGTGATCCCCCGGCGAGACCTTGACTTGGAAGCAAAAAAAAGGTGCTGGTTCACTGGGCCGATCTACTTTTCGGGCTGCCTTTGTTCAGATCCCCCGCCAAAAGTCGAGAATTTTGAGTGGGTCAAAATCGGAAACTACCACTAAACACAAAAAATATCCAAAAAGCTAAGGAACCGGATGGCTGGGAGCCACCAAGTTTTTGTTGAAGTGTAGCGGGTGGAATGTGATGTAACATCACTTCCTGGATTGGCCCAGTGACCGCTCCTGTTATTCCTGTTGAACTGACCTTCCCCCGCCCCCAACCCGCGCGCAGTTCATGGAAAACATACGGAAGTCGAACTACAAAGATTGAAACCAAGATTCCGAGTCTCACTTGCCTAAAGGACCTGGAAATAAAATGGGAAACCAAAAGGTCAAATGGGTCGATTCGCTTTGGGCAAGTGAAGAGTTTAAAGCTCACACTCCAAGAAGGACCTTGAAACTTCAATTCGGGAAGAAAGTAGCAAACAAGCAAAACAAACAAGCAAGGCAGCGAAGAAAGGAACAAGCAAACAAACAATCAAACAAGCAAACAAGCAAGAAAAACACATCTTGGGCATGGATGACAATGACTCTAGTCTGCAGTAAACACCTTAAACCAACTACGTCAGCTCCTGGTTGGACAACCAAATATGAGCCAGCCGCAATACGAATTGTGTCCCTCAACGAGTTTTTGTGAGTATCCTGCCGTTTTTCCTATGGTACTTTGGTGAGAGTGCCTCGTGTCGCAGGGGATGACGGCACTGGCATGTTCGGCCAAGTTAGTAAGGCCACCTGCGTTGTAACCCAGTAACAACAAGTTCAACTCCACTGAATGGGGGCGTATAAGCGGGTTATAAAGTTATTTTACGACCACAACTTACTAACTTGGCGAATCAAACACCCAAGCAAGAACACAAACCATTCAGGTATTCCCCCACCCCTTCTGGGTATCTGTCCAAATGGTCATGTTTCCTTTCAGCCCCCCTCCCCCCCTTTAAGGTGAAAGGGGTACCTTCAAAAGACACACACACACACAAACACACCGTTCTTAGCCCCAAATCCCCCAGTAGCCATAGCAAAAAGGCCATTCTTCCTGTTGTTGTTTATTTACAGGGAGACCTCTCCCCAACATGCCAAATGAAAAAGTTAATTCTTCCTTCTTGTTGATTTAGCGGGCGCCCCTTGCCCCAACCTGCCGGATAACCCCGTGTTGCACCAGGCCTGTCCGCGCGCATCTCCGAGGCCGTCTTGGGTTGTGGCTCGGCCTCGACTTCCCAACCAACCCAGCGCGACCGGCGCCTTTGAACAAATCGGGCACCTTCAAGAGGTGCGCTTTCCTCTTGGGTCCCTTGATAACAATGGGCTAAGCAACACTTGGTTGCTGCAAGAACCCCCCTGCAAAAAGTTCTCCACTTTTCGGGGGTTTAGTGGAAAACACCTGTATTTCAACCAAAAAGTTAAAGTCAAAAGATCCATTCAACAGCAATCAAGAAAAGATCTACCCCTGAGCCCAAGAACAGATCCCATTGAGATAACCCAAACCCAAGAACTTGGCTCGTTTACCCCTACTTCAAAGGGGCAGGGTACCCACCTACCACAAATGGGGCACCAAAAACGCAAAAAGGTGCGCTTTCCTCTTGGGTCCCTTGAAAAACACCCGACATACTTAAAGGGGCGATCCGGTACTTAGTAAGTGTTTAGCAAGCCAGCTTCGAACCCGCTTGGGAGACTTATAAAAGTGGTAAGTGGGTTATAACCATGGGTACTAACCACTTGCTAAGTACAATGCCCCTGTAAGTAGGGTCCAAAAAAGACCGCCCCCCCTTTTAGTCATGAAGCCGTCTTGGTGGCTCCATGGATTATTAAGCCTTCAGGACTTTTCCGAGGCTTAGCGGCCCTTCATAAAGTCCAACCAAGCCCCATGATTGTCACAAAAAAACAGGGATCCTTACACTATACACCCGAACATTGCCTTTACTTTGGTGGAAGAAGTCATGTTTCAACTGGTTGCGCAATGTATCTGTTAAGGAGCCCTGAAAAAGCAAACGAACAAGACTGGGCCGTCCAAACCGATCCCCTGCTAAACACTTTGAGTGGGTTAAATGGAACCCCCCACCAAACCCTAAAAACCTAAAAACCTAAGAGGATGGTTGTTGTGTTGACGGTGCCTTTTGAAGGTTCGCTCCCTACTTCCCCCGCTTTTCTTTTGAGGAATCACTTTCCCCATAGCCCGAACCACTGCCGGAGCAATCCAACACTTGATCCGCAACTTTCAAACCAGCCGCAAGGAACTTTGGTAGCCCCAAATCGCTGACCGACCGAACAAACAACCAACCCACCCGCCCACCCACCAACCAACGCCAACCAATAAACGTGAGCCGGTGCTAAGCAACAACTCACTTGCCCCAAGGACCCAGAACTAAAAGGTTAACCTTTTCTAAAAATGGACCAACATGGGAAAACCAAAAGGTCAAAAGGTCGGCTTTGAACAACTGAGTTTAAGTAACAAAAATACTCTCACCTCTTGAGTGGATTGGCCGAACTTTTTGTCTGCCACTAACATGGTCCAAACCCAAATGCTTAGTTGATGTGGGAAGGGGAGCAAAAAATCCGATTTTAGTAGTTAAGTGGTTGGAAATCAACCACTAAACCACAATAAGCACAATTGTTTGGGTTTCAGTCCGAAAGGGAACTCAGGGAGTGAGGAATCGATGGGTTTCATCAAGGCAGCCATTCTGACCTAGGGCAAGGTTGGCATACCTCCACTAGGTCCTCCAGATTTGAGAGGTTAGAATAATATGGTACCCCTTTTTCCAGGGATCCTTACATTATACACCTGAACATTGCCTTGTAAATGGTGGTGTCCCTTTATTTTTGTGGAAAAGCCATGTTTCAAATGGGCAAAATGTATCTTTTAAGGAGCCCTGTTTTCTGTAGTCTATTTTAGGGGAACCCTCCCCAAAATAGTAGGGGAACCCTCCCCAAAATAGTAGGGGAACCCTCCCCCAAAAAAGAAACGGTCAAAGAGCGCCTAGCTGGGGGACCTAGTCCACGAGAAAACGTACGCTTTGGGCATACCACGAGGAAAACTACGAAATTTGGCAGGCCATAGGGGTTGTCTCAAAACAGGCAGCTACATAGGCCGTGTCCCCTTGGTTGCCCTCGAAACCAACCCCCAACAAGGCGCAGGAGAAACAAATCCATGTCACATCCAAATGTTGTTCTTCCAATTAAAATGAGTCTAAACTGTCTGGTTTTACAGGCAGGGAATAAGTTGGAATGGCTTTGAGAAAACCCGTCCCGGATAGTTTCTTTTCTTCGGGCATCCCCTTCCGGTTCATTCCCAAAACCCAGATTGGATGTTCGGCCAGACTAGTAAGTGGAAAAGGCCATCTGGCTTATAACCCACTAACATGAGGTTAACTCCACTTAGGGAGACTTATAAACGATCCAAACCCGAGCTACCAATATCAAAGGCCTGTCAAAGAAATATCCGCCAAACACCCCGCCAAAAGTTCTTCGGTGCGTCTTTTTTTGGGAGACCCCCCGCCCAAAAGTGATGGTTGTCTTGGTTCTCTGCAGGGAACTAGGGAATGACTAATGTAAACAATCCCGGTTTCCTTTAGACGGGAATCCCCTTCTGGTTCATTCCCAACACTTGGACACGGTCATTCCCTGCCTATCGCATCAGCAAGTAAAAGTTGAAAAGGTCAGTGCATCCTACCCCAAAAGCGGTACCCTCAAAGAAAACATGTCAAATTGAGATCCTCCAAACTACCCGACCTAGCTCAAAGGCAGTACAGGTTTTCCCCCTATTTCTGCAAGTCTATAAAGAGACCCACCCTGGATTCCATCCGTAAATGCCACATCTACTTGGGTGTTCAGCTAACTTAGCACGTTGTTGGTAACCCGGGTCCTGGGTTATAACCCACTTGTGGGTCCCCTAAGCGGAGTTAACCCTGTCATCCGTGGAATGTCTCCCAGGCCGTTTTCGGTCACTAACTTGGCAAACATCCAATCAGGGTTTTGGGAATGAACCGGAAGGGGATTCCCGAACAAAGAAAACCACAGGGGACGGGTGCTCTCAAAGTCATTCTAACTCATTCCCTGCCTGAAAAACCAGACAGTTTAGACTCATTTTACTTGGAATAACAATGTTTGGATGTGATGATTTTTTCCTCCTGCGCCCTGTTGGGGGTTGGTTTCGAGGGCAACCAAGGGGACACGGCCTGTAAAATCGGAACAATACATCGGACGCCTGCAAAAAAAAACCGCCGGCGGCCTCGCAGGCGTCGAAGATCTGTTGAATGCGGGTGATCTCCTGAGGCATCTGGGTTCCGTCAACCAAGGCCCCCCAAAAAAAACAACAACAAAACAAACAACCAACAAATCCAAGTGGATAGACATTGGCAACATTGGTGTTTTTTGCTCTTTTTTTTTCCAAGGGCAAAATAGAATTAAAACCAATCCAAACAAGTGCCATGTATTTCTAGCCAAGGAAACCTAACAAAAACGACACCTATGTCCGAGTGGGTATGGAGCCTGTCCATTCAGCTCAACCCATTTTGGGTACCTGTGTTTGACTCACACCCAAGTATCTCCGGAAAAATAGGGGCATGTTTGTTTGATTCTATGATTTGGTTGAGACCCTGCTTGGTCCCAGAGTTCTAGTGGCTGGAAAGAAACATCACTTGTTTCTGATGACTCTAAAGGGACACCGCAAAAATCCAGGTGCTACTGTAGACCTGGAATGATACCGTTCCCCAACGTAAATATCAACTTGGGCTGTCCGTTTTCTGATCCCCTGCTAAAAGTGAATCACTTGTGGGCTAAATTCCGAAACCCAACCACTAAACCAACTAAAAGCATATCTAAACACTTATAGAACCCTGAAAACATATCTAAAAAACCGTTTTAGGAACCGGATGGCTGGGCTTGCCACCCGGCAAGCCGTTTCATTTCGTGCGGACGGATTGCACTTCAATTCACTCCAGAGAGTGGGTGGCTTCTCAGGGTTTCCATCTCAACTGGATCCATGGTCCCCTCGAGGCCATGGGAATCCAAACCGCCAACTGGGGTGCCTGTTGGGTCGGGGCAACTGGCGGGACCCAAACCAGCCGGGGGTGCTCGAAGCTAAACGTTGGGGCTCAGTTGCCACCACTCAATCAATGTTGATCGGGTTAAGAAAAAAACCACCATATTTCCGTTCAGGAGCAACTCATCCGTGGGGATTTCACGAAAGACATGATCATGTCTCTCTTGAATAACGACCATTTGTCAGCTTCCGTGTTGGATAGAAGCTCTGGGCCTGCGATCCTATACTTGCAGGGGCCGGGTGCTTAAGTTCTTACTCAGCATGGTTCTAACTCACTTCCCACGGTTTTAAGACTCCGTGGGTTTACAACCAGGTACCCGATCGCCCCTGTAGAGCAGCCTTCGGCGAAGGAAGAAACACCCCTCCCGTTGGAGACCTTCAAAGACCTCGTGGGTTCTGAACCTGCCGATTCGATGGGCAAATGTGCCGTTTGACTTGGCACTCCTTGTTGGTTTTGAAGGAAACCAAGAAGACACCCTGGGGCCCTGCCTTGGGTTTCACCAAGGGTTGAATTCACAAGGATCCGCAAGTGAGACGGGAAATTGCACTTGCTAGGCAAGTTGGGAGAATGGCTCACAACTCAGTTAAGGGCTTAAATGAACAGGGCAAGGGACAAAGATTCCTTTCGAGTCACGAAAAGGCTGGGAGAACGCGCCCGACCTCTGCGTGAAGACTTGCACGTTTTGCTTCCTCAGGAGACACTGCTTACACAAGGCAAACGTGCCAGCCAGGGGCCATGGTGCAACCTGTGGAGGGGTCCTCGCATGATTTGATGTGATGATCCCATGGGCGACAAAAACCTTCCAGCGATCAAGGAATCGCTTTCGAGGGAAACCAAAAGGAAAACCACGACTTTGTGGGGTCCAGAGTCCAAATCCCTACTTGACACGGACACCAATAAGGGTCAGACATGTTCGTGAGGTAACGTAGTTCCGCAGCATTTCTATCATGACTATGAAGGTTTATGCAGGCCTTACTACCCCTATTAAGCCGGGTACCATGATAATCGACTCAACATCTCAAAAGAAAGCTCCAACAATACAAAATCAAATGGAAACATGGACCGAAGCTCCTTTTGGAAGTCTTCTGGAGTTCTGGAATCCTCATTCAAAAGTAGTACTGCTCAATACTGAAGCAGTGTTGCCCAATACTAAAGTTCCTCACAATAGACCTTCCCGATTTGTTCAGTCCCATCTGCTTTTCGGAGGAAAAACCTTCTGGACCTTCACCAGGGGTCTGTACTCCGACGTTCACATCACGCCCGGCGCGGAACTCCCCGCGCTCCGCGCGAATCCCGCGTTGCTCGAGCGCGTCGAGCCGAGCCGAGCGAACCCGGCGGCTCCTCAGCGGTGAAGCCCTCGCGGGCACGGAAGGCTGCCAGGAACCGCAGCAGCTCCTAGGATCTTCCGCGGTCACGGCGGTCCAAATGGCCATGGGTCAGCCCGGTTAGCCTAACCAGTGAACATCCGATTCAATCCAACCAGTAAAATAGGTTCTAACATGGATGGTGCACCGAAAACCCCAAAATGGAACCATGGGTTCTGACCACAGCCAAATGAGTCAGAATCAAAACCTGGTATTCCCAGGGTCAGTCCCTCATTCCCTGGGGTCATTAGGGTCATTCCGTGGCATTCCCTCATTCCCTGAGCACCAGCAAGTCAAAACCCAGAACCATGCTTCAAGAACTAAGAAGGCGGCCGCAACTACTTCTGGCTGGAACTGCCCCTTCCTAACCTTCATCTACCCGGGTTCTGATTGTGGCTCAAATAGCATCGGCGGATTTTTGCCGGCATCTGGGCCCCGTTGCTTGCTTCAACCCAGCGAAAAAGCTGGACATTTGGGGAACCCAGCTGTGATAACACGGTTTTTGACCCTGAACCCCTAAAGAATACCGCAGACGCCGCTTTTTCGGGTCGCCTCGTTCCCCAACAGCTGAAAGCTATGGGTCGCTAGGCCCAAAAGGCTATGGTTTGGTGGAAGCTTGGGGCCTTCAGGGAACGTTCTGGAGGGCTCCAGAAGAAAATCCGGGGTTGTTGGGGATACCGAAAGCTTATTTGGCTGTGGCTCAAAACCCAACAAACCCCCGGTGAACATGAAAATAGGTGGTACATGGGTGTTCATCCGCCCCAAAATGGAGGCATAGGTTATGAGTTATGACCCATGGCTATTTGCTTTCTTTTAAACTCCCCCCACAACAAATATGGTTCCAAGCACCAACCAGTGTGGGGCTGCTTGTGTTTTCCCTTGCGGCTGGTTCCCCAACTTGTTTGGAAAACCAAACAAAAACGAAAGGCCCACAATGGAAATGGTGTTCTGCCCCATTTTGGGAGTGGCATGATCTTCTCGCGTTTGATCGTTTGGAAACCTCAAGAACCCAAAGTGGCTTTGCCCATGCGTAAGCCCCAAAATTGCATTGTGGTGTTGCTCCGCTGCTTTTTGGAACCCCAAAAATATGTCAGCGGCGGTGTTGGAAATTGAGTTTGAGAAGACACATCCAAATCAGTTGGACCACATGTTTGGCCGGCGTTCGCTTGGTCTTCCAGGGGTTCTCTTGAAAATGAAGTAAGAAGGTAGCTGCCTCAGTACCCACCCTGTCCATGTATTGTGTCTGGGGCCCGAACTCGACCAAAAGTCATGGGACTGAAATCCAGCTAGGTCCCCTTCCAACCTCTAGCCTTCAAAACAAAGGCACCTGGTGCCAGGTTAACAATGTTAGAGGGTAACCAGTACCCAGCGCATTGTAGGTAACCAAGGGAGCCATCCTTTACTAGGTCCTCCAGATTTGAGAGGTTAGAATAAGGGTACCCTTTTTTCTGTAGTCTATTTTAGTAGGGGAACCCTCCCCCCCAAAAAGGGTAAAAGGGCACTACTGGGGGACCTAGTTTAAAAACGAAAAGGAAAATAGCTGCTTGCCCACCACAAAGGCAACTGGAATGCACGGTTGGCCTAACCCCCAGACCATTGAAGTAGCGATCCGATCCGCATTTTATGGTAGTGGACTAGCCACCAAAATTATGTTTCGGATGGGAGATCAACCCCTTGGATATCATGGGGTATGTGTCAGAGGGATTTGGAGCGCTAAAGTGGGTGGTCTGTTGGTTTGCTTTTAAACCAACAAACCAAAGGTAGCCTCAAAACACAAACCCATTCTGAGACGTGATCTCGGATTGCCTGGTGAGGGAAACTCGGTCTCGCAGCCGAATGACTCAATGCAAACCGCGCTCCGCAAGCAGAACCCCTGCATAATTTTGATCGGGGGGTCTCCTCTTGTGGGAATTCATCACTGGAGGCGAACACCACCCCCCTCTCTTAGCACGCGTTTCCGTTTAAACAACCTCCGTGGAGCACCTCCGCAATCCCCACCCCCCTATTCGCAGGTGTTTTTGCTATTTTCAAAAAAACAAAAAACAATAGCATATCATTATTATGATTTATTATTATTATGATGGTAAAGGAACAACAAACATAACACATATTATCATATATAAAGGAAAACACATAAAACATAAAACGGAGATCAATAGAGTTCCCCGACTCAGCAGCTCAGTGGTCGCACGCCTCCCCGTCTCCGTCTCCCACGCGTCCTCCGCCTTGGTGCACTCCAGACCGCTGAGGCCCCCCAGCACCAAGGTCTCCTCCACCGCCGCCTGCGCTGCTGCGAAGCTGCAAAGCTGCGAAGCGACTGCCCGTCTTCCCATCCGTCTCGTTAAGGGTTTCTCTTGAAAATAAAGTGAGAAGGTAGCTGCCTCAGTACCAACCCTGTCCATTTATTCTGTCTGGGGCCCGAACTTGACCAAAAGTCATGGGACTGAAATCCAGTTAGTACCCAGCGCATTGTAGGTAACCAAGGGAGCCATCCTTTACTATATAGGTCCTCCAGATTTGAGAGGTTAGAATAAGTTTGTACCCGATGCTTTTCTGTGTTGTCCATTTTAGTAGGGGAACCCTCCCCCCAAAGAAGGGTAAAAGGGCACTACTTTACTGGGGGACCTAGTGGAGACACGGAAGGCAGAAAAAAAGAAGGAGGAAGCTAAGAAAGAACCAAGAAAACAAGGAAAGGAGAAACAAGGAAAGGAGTAAAGAAAAACAACTACCATTGCAAGAAAGGAATCATATAGGAGCCTGCTGCTTCAAAGGGAAAGTCAGTACTCTTGTAAAGTCACAAGTCGACTCAGAGAACTGGGAGCAAAGCTTCTGATCTTGGGGGCGTGGGCAGCTTCCAGTTACCCATTTAGTAGGCACTTCACCAGGAAAACCATCATGCCAACCCCATGCTGAAGTGGTAGGAACCCTTGGGCCATGCAAAAAGGATTCAGGAGGAAGCCCAAACAATGTGTGCAGCTAGCCTTGGGCCTTGGATGGTGGGGTCAACATAGAGAAACCAAGTCATCTCTGAAATAAGTGTCGCTGTTGGCTCCAGCGCGCACACACACACACACCTTCGTCGTCCGATTCCAAATGGCTGGAAACATGTCTGGCAAAATCGCGCCGGTACAACACGACGTGGCTGTGGCTCAAAAAACCGGTACCAAAATGGAACAAGTGGAAACATGGACCAAAACCTGCGTAACCCCTCCTGTTTAATTTTGAGCCACACCCATGTAACTTTGCTGCAAGCGCGCCCTTGGTATTGCAGATGAATAGGCGGATCACGCTCTTAAATGTTCGAGTCTCACACTTTGGCTGAATCCTGGTCAGGTGGCAGGCTCAAAACAACACGAATGTATCCCGAAGAGTACCCAAAATGGACTACCCTCCTGTCCACTAACATGGAACCTGACTGAGGGGTCCCGGAAGACTATTTAACTTTACAAGGGACCCTCTGGTGGGTTCCTGACAAACAAATCCACCCAGCTCTGTCGATGTTCCGCCCAAAAAGGGAAGGCAAAACGCCCCAGCCGATCCATTTACCTGTCTACGCAGCTGCTTTGTTTTTTTTTGTTTTGAACCAAAAGGAATAGCTGGATACTTGCTTGGGATCCACCGGGTGACTTTGGGGTTGCCATCCCCTCAAAACCAAACAGGCTCCAATCCAAATTGGGGGCGGCTCAACAAACCGATATCTCAAAGGGAACTCCTACCCAGTGATTCCATTTACCTGGCAAAGGGGCAGGTAAGCATGGGCTTGCCACCCTTAAAAAACCCAAAAACAAAAATTATCCAAGGGGTACCTACTCGTGGCTTGCCTGGGTTGGAAAACCACTAAGACAGGATAGTTCAACCGCTACATGTGCAAAAGTTAAGTTGTGGGGCGCCGAAAAAATCGACCAACTCCCATTCATTGAGTGGAACAAACATATCGGTTCAGTGGGACCACTGGTCATCCCCTGAAATGAAAGGATCTTCGGATCCCGAATCAACTCGTTAAAAGCGCTTCCGTCCGCGCCAAGCGAAACCCGTCGCCGCTTCGCCTTCAGGCAGACGGTGCCCATGGACTTCAGAAAGCCCTGGCACTCCTCGCGGCAGCTTCCGGCGCTCGAATCCGCGGTTGACCACGGCGCCGGGCGTTCCAAACGTGGAAAGGATGCGTGAAGAAAACGAAACACAACGGCGAACGAAGAAACGTATGCAATCATGTCAAACAAAGCAAGCAAAGCAACAAAAAAAAAAACAAGCAAAGTGAAACAAGCAAGCGAGCAAGCAAATAAACGAAAACACTAACAAACAGACGAACAAACGAGCAACAAATGCACATCTTGGACATGGATGACACTGACTTTAAGGAGTGAACACCTTGAACCAACTACTTCAGCTCCTGGTTGGACATCAAAATATGAGCCAGGGGCTGAAATGTGGTGAGTTTGGTGAGTATCCCGTCGTTTCCCTATGGTATGTTGGTGAGCGTGCCTCCTGTCATAGTTAAGGGGATGACGGTACTCGGATGTTCGGCCAAGGTAGTAAGCAGGAGGGTCCGTCTTCTTGCCATGCTGCTGACAACCGTCTGGATCGATCTTCCCCGCGACCTTGTCTCTCGCGCAAGCCTCTTGAAGAGACCCATCCAGGAACTGTCCCACAAGGTGTCTACCAGCCAAAGGCCAGCAACATCCCGGTTGAGGGTTTGAGAACCCGTTTCGCCTGCCGTGCTGGCGCTCAGCAACAGTACCGCTTCTGCGGGGAGAGCCGGGTTGGCGCTTGTCACTATGGAGCAGCCAGATGCATCTGGAAGAACACACACACAGACATCATGGGGGCTGGGGGGGAGGGAGGGAGCCCCCAAATTTGGGCTCCCTCCCCCTCCCCTCCCTGCCCCCAGCCCCCATAAACACACAAACACACGGAGTCTTTGGCTTCTCTTCAGCAGTCTGGGGCTTCCCTTCTGCCTTCATGTTAACCCCGGATCAATAAACCCCCGGTTGATTACTAGGGGGCTGTCCCCTTTTAGTGGGGTTTGAGCACTTTTGGAGGGAACACCCCCCTAATAATGGGACGGGTTTATTAATCCTGGGTCAACATTACGCAAGTGAGGGAACAAGGATTCGATTCGCCAATTTACCGGCATTGCAATGGTTTTGTGACTGGGTATGGCAGGTCTACTTGCAAGATCTAGGCCATCTACCATACCCCGACCTATAGGGAACATTATAACTGCAGAAGCTTAATCTAAGGGTTATATCATTTACCCCGAGTGGCTTTAGAATTTGTGGCTTGGAGGTGGAAGTTTTGTTAGGAATGCATGGAGCCAAGGACTGTGAAACCTGACAGGCCTCCAAATACCCCGGGGTCTATAAAGCAAGAGTGGGACATGCCAGAGCCAGCCCCCTGGCTCGCGGACTGAGAGGAGACAGTGATTTGTTTTAGGTTCTGTCCTTGGGTGTCAACATGATGTCCAATTCCTGGGATTCAAACCATCGAAACAATGTGGAATCATAGAAACACCTTCGTTTAGCCAAGGATTGTCATCATCTAAATTGGGTCAACCACGTTTTTTTTTTTTAAATGGCAGGTTGAACCCCAAGGTGATTCCTGTTGCCCGTTTCGGCGCCGCTGGTAAGTTTCAGAACCCGAGAAAGAAAAAAGAAGAAGAACAAAACAACACACCCATGCACACACACACACACACACTCACGACCCGGTGACTGGAAAACCATATCGCAGGCCGCCCCTGGGGTGTGCAAAAAGTTCACCACTTTTGGGGGTTTAATGGAAAACACCGTAATTTCACCGTTATTTCAAGGACCCCCCTGCAAAAAGTTGACAACTTTTTGGGGTTTAGTGGAAAACACAACTTTACTTCAACCAAAAAGTTAAAGTCTAAAGATCCCACCCAACAGCAGTCAAGGTTTGGGCTAGTGGCCCCTGCTGGGACTGATATGGATGGCTCCCGTACCAACCCGTACGACTGTCCAAATGCCAGGATCCTGATCAGCTGATCTGGATGCTTATTTTTTGATTGATGGAAACTTCCTTTTTGGGGTTGATTTAAAGGAAAGCCAAACGGGAAGCCAATCTGATATGGATGTGCTTGCCTGTTTTGGGCTGAAAGGAAGCCAACGGGAAGCCACGCATTTAGGAGAAGAAATGAGACAATTTGTCCAGTAGTGAAATCGATTCCCTTTCATAGATAAATGGACAAACACATGAATAATCTGAAATAAATGAATGAATACCATAAACATCAACAGGGGATTACATATAAAAACACATAATAAACTGATATATATATATATAATACAACAACATGAATAACATCTTTCAGCAAATGGGAAAAAAACTCCTATTTGAGGTGCGCAGCCATGGCATTTTTTCCAGCGGCCTTCACAGCATCCACCTCGTAGTCCTCCTCCTTCTCCCGCCTAAGCTAAACTATCGAGCGAAGACTTCGAGTAAAAAACGACTGATTACCAAAGGGGGGACTATTAAAAGGGTCCTAAAAGATTAAAAAAAGGACCGACAGGGGGAAGAATGGGTGATATCCACAAAACACGCATCCAAACCGTGTCCTAGACCTGTAAACTTCCATTTGGCTAAGACCCTGGACAAAAAAAACAAGTCCAGTAGTGATAGAGTCCTTTTAAAACCAACGGGGAATTTAACCATATGCTTAAGCAAATGGAAGATAGGGTGGGTCTGAACGATCGAAGACGTGTTCCGGGGGGGGGGGGGGAAAGGAGAGAATATATCTTCAGTGAAATCGGCTCCCTGAACCAACAAGGTTTTGCTTTTTCCTGTTGAAAAACAACAAAACAGTATATAAACAAATACGTGCGTTTCAGCCAATGGGGGTCAAATGGGCTGGTTCCAACTCTTTGGGCTGGTTTTAATCACGGAGGAACTCAAGCAGTGCGCGAGGGGCGGTTCCGTGGCCTTGGTGAGTTGGCCTTGAAGTTTCAGCTTTCTTCCGGTGAGTTGATATGTGTGCCGCGAAAAAACGGCTTGGATTCTGCGTTGCTTTTTGGGGGATCTCGCCTGTTCTTCTCTCTGTTGATGTCTCCTTCTTTTGTACTCTCTTCGTACGCTTTTGATGTTCTATAGGGGCGGATCCACAAAAGCCACATCCAACCCGTTTTCGAGATTGCCTACTTCAAGGGCCATTCTACTTAGTAAGTGGTGAGTAAGCCTCAAAAGCCAGGGTTACAAGTCTCCGAAGTGGGTGAGTTATTACCAGGCCTACGCTGACCACGTAAGGGGGGGGGTGCAATCTCTGAGCGGGTCTGAGGTAATGTGCACCTTCGGACCCAGGTATTTTCAGGCGCGTGGGAGAGATCATCTCCTGGCCCAAGCTGCAAACTTAACTTGCTGGGTTGACGGGCAGGGAATGAGTTGGTAAGACCCCGACCCTACTGTGCCGAAATCTATTTCGCACCACCGTTCGGAAACCCTGGTTTCTGATGATTCCCCTGTAAATAGCAACCAACAATAGTTTCCCATGGTTTCAAAGTGGTGCGAAACGGATTTCGTCCATCCACAGTATGGCTTCATTTAAGGGAATCCCTAGATTCATTCCCAACACCCTGCGCCATTCCCTACCAAAAGGGAAAGGGGGGGTGGACTTGTTGCTGAGTCTTTTGGGCAGGTGTGGTTTGGCTTGCTGCATCGTTGCTTCTTAAACCTTTGTGACCTTGATATGGACCCTAAGAGCTTCTTTTTTCGACTCCAGGACAGGTTCGCACCATAGATAGTTGCCCTTTGACACCGAACCAGGAAAATACCATGACACAAAAATGACAGCTGAACCCCTTTCGTTTCCTACGGTAGCCTGCTGAGAGCTCTATCTGAAAAAGAGCGCTCGAATTCAACAAGTTGAAACAAAGAAGAGTTAGTAAGCTTCATGGGAGAGCTCGTCATTTGCGTTGTGTCCGCCTGAAGGGAACTTGGCTGCTCAACCAACATCAGGTAAGTAGGTTAGAACCATGGTAAGGGAATTAACTCCAGATAGCCTACTTACTCATTACTTACCCATTGCGTCAAGCGGCGAGGTCCATTCCTCAATCTTCACCCGGATCACCTGCGAGCGAGCGAAAGGTTGAAGACAGGTTCGTCTCAAGATATGGAGGATGTCTTTCTCACTGCGTGAGTGGGGGGGATTGGCAACAAAAACAACTAAACACTGTGTAGTTCCCACCCAAATGGTCTCCCAGGAACTTGGGAGGTGAGTGGTTTAAGGAATTGGACCAAATGATTTCCTGTTGGTTTCCCTTAAACCCAGTTTGTGTGGGTACCCTCCAAAAAAGACGAGCCCCCGTATGCGGAGGCGTCTTTTTCTCGAGGATGGGGAGGCTAGTAAGTCTGGTTTGGATATAATGGTGAGTCCCCCACGTCCCGAAAAAAAAGACACAAGGACACGCAAAACAACATCGAAGCAGGCTGAGTACATCGGGAAACATGTTCAGGGTTGCAACCAAGCTGAAAACAGATTCAGGCGCCTACGTGAGCACCAAGCGGGAAAACAAGCAGAGGGGAGACGAAGCAGAACAAAAGCGAGAAGAGGAGCACACACCTGAGCGGCCAACAAGGCACCCCAACGTCAGTAGGTTATAACTATGGAAAGGGGACCAACCCCAGTTACCTTGGCTAGCACCATGGTTGCAATCTACTTACCTGACGTTGTTCGAAAATCCAAGTAGGAAAGGGGTCGGTTGGCCCTCTCTCCTTCGGACACGCACGGCATGCCACCTAGGTCCTCCAGTAGAGAGGTTAGAATAAGGGTACCCTTTTTGTTTCTGTAGTCTATTCTCGTAGGGGGAACCCTCCCAAAAAAAAGATTACAAAGGGCACCTAGCTGGGGGACCTAGCCACTAACATGGCCCAAAAGGTGACTGAAGTGCAACTCAGGGAGTGAGTTGCCCATCCAGCTACCTCTGTAGGTAAGCCTTTGAGCTTCCATCTGTCTAGCTTCCATTTGCGTTTTCGCCTCCTGGATAAATTCGCCATATTACCAGTGAATGACTCCCTTTAAAACTCCAGGGCAAAACAAACAAAAAACAAAACATTCAAGCTAGGTGTTCATGATCTTTTCCCCTGGCTACCTACTATAGTGGCATCCGTTGAAGCACTGGGTACAACTGGGTGTAGGTGACAAATTGGGTAACCCCAAAACGGGTTGCAACCTGGGCCCAAAGCTTTGGTCACAGGACTTCCTCGTGGAGGACCGGAGGAAACCCTGCAAAAAGTGGCAATCAAGCCCAATTCCGGAAGTGAGTTGTATTACAGTTGTATCACATTTCCAGGGATTTCCCCCTAACAATCACAAAAGGTTGCCCATCCCTTCAGGGGTTCCTTCAAGTTGTACATTTCCAGGGATTCTCCCAAAGAAAGGGTCGGGTCACCTTGAAGGACCCCCTTCCCATCGCCAAGCCACAAGCCGGGCGCGGCGCCCATCGAACGAATTCGAACGAAGCCCCGTCGCCTCGCGCTCGTAGTTCATGTACCGCTCGGAGAAGTCGCAAAAGTCTTGGAAGTCCAAAGTCGAAAACCTCAGCGAGCGTCGCTTGGATGGCCATAGCCCTCTTCAACTCGCCTCCGATCAAGTGGATTGGCCGAAAAAAGAAAACAAACTGTTTGTTAATCACCAGAATGGTCCAGACCCTAAAAGTTTAAGGTCCAGGAACTCTGGGAGTAAGTCAAACAGCTTCCAACATCTACCAGGCACCCCCCAATGGCTGTCCAATGTTAAGTGACCTCCTAATGGCTGCTTTGGGGCCATTTGCCAGCCATTTTAGGATGCTGGGAAACATCTGTCTTGATTGGTCAATGGTCAACCGTAGCATGGAAATATGTCTTCATTCGTTTTTAGTCAAGGGCAATGGTGCAAGGCAATGTTCAGTTTCAGCGCGGGGACCTCGACGCAAGGCTCGGTTTGAGAAGGGCAACTTTGGTCAGACCGAAGGAGCACGCGAAAGATCTGCGGGGAGCAAACGCAAGGAAGCAAGGATGTTCTGCACTGCGGGGATATGGCTGGACAAATGCAGCGGATTCCAGCATTCGGGCCGACAACCACTCCAAGCCCCCCTAGCAAAGAAGAAAAAACAGTTTGGGGCCTCGGAATCTCGGTTTGCGCGGCCCGCTAATCACATATTTTGGGACTGTCTGAACAACACTGACAATTCTGGGCTGCCCTCAGATCCCCGCTAAAAGGGAATAGCTTTTGGTGGGTTAAGTTCGGAAACCACTAAGCCAACTAACAGCTAAAAGCCAAAAGCTAAGTTCACTAGTGCTTGACCAAAAAACTAGTGGTTGACCAAAAAAGCCAATTCGGAAACCATTAAACCAAAAAGCTAAGTTGACCAACTAGCACTAAAAAAGCTACGTGGAGCCGGATGGCCGGGCCAGCGCCGACTTTTCGTCGAGTACCCTCGGACCTCCAAGGGATACGGGGGGTATCTTTTGATGGCTGGGCGTTTTTTCTTCTTCTTGGGGTACCCCGTTTTGAATGTAGGCAACCAAAAGGAAAACCCGTCCAGTGTTACAAAAAAAATCCCCGTATTTTGAGACACACCCACATTCGTTTTCAGCCGCTGCTCGACGCATGCGCGCCCCGCGACGGATGCGCCCATCCAAAACAAACACCTTGCTTGCCATGACAGGTTTGTGGCCCTGAATGGTCCTTGGCTTGTAGACACTACTTGGATGTTCAACCAACGTTAAGTAAGTAGGTCCTAAACATGGTTGCAAGGGGGCCAACCTCAGCTACCCTAGTCATAATCATGGTGATAGTCTACTTACTAAGTTGAGTTGGTTGAACATCCCAGTAGGCATAACCATGGTTATAACCTACTTACTATGTTGGTTGAACATCCAAGTAGTCACCAGCTTGCAATGGCTCCCCTGTGAATTGGCTCTGAATCAGGAAAACTGGGATGGAGCTTGGATACATGGCACGTGTTCCTGAATATCAGCAAGCGACAATATTAGCGGTAGTCTATGTTTGATTTGGGGAGGACGCCGGGGGAGGGCCTACACAGTTACACAACCAGGGGGCCTACCAAACGAACCAATAGTCAGCAATGTGTCCGGTACTCCAATGAAGCCGAGAACCCCCACGCCCAACAAAAATCGATCAGGGGTATATTAATCCAGGGTGAACTTTATTAGTCAAACTAACTTTATTGGTCACTCACTTCCTCAGTGGCTTGGCCAGAAAAACCTACACTTCTTGCGCTAAAATGGCCACCAGACCCTCAAAGTTGAAGGTCCAGGAACTCAGAGAGTGAGTCAGGCACCTTTAATGGCAGTCCCATGTTCAACCCCAGGCAAAAGGTCACTTGAGGTAAAAGTACCAGGGCCCAAGGAAAGCGGTGGGTCAATAAGCTCAGGTGATATCCCCAACAGCATGCGGTGCTCTCTTTAGTGCTCGCACCACCCCGCAGCCCTCGCAGAACCTCGCAGAACCTGGTCAAACCCTGGTGGAACCCTGGTGGAACCCTCGTGGAACCTTACCTCAGGGAGCCCCGGGAGCCTATCTGGGCTGAGACCCCAAAGCTTTCAGCTGTTGGGGAAAAATAGGTACCTAACATGGCTTGCCCTGGGAAATGAAAAGCCAAAGATTAGAAAACCTGCGGTCCAATTCCTGGTGGCCAAATTTTGACCCACGCCCCATGTGAAGTTTCAGCTTCGCAGCTCGTTGGTGTCTTTGGCAATGGCCGTAGCCTGCGAGGAAAGCTGGGCTCATGGACCCCTAAAGGGGGCTATGGGGGGGGGGCTATGCCTGGATAAGCCCAGGATAAGGCCTTAACGTTAAAGCCCTAATTCAGGGGTTACAAGGGAAGTTAATTACCCCCCCCCCCCAACCCCCATAGGCCTTCTTAGGGGTCCATGATGGGGGAAGAATCACTTCTGCAAAGTTCTGCTCCCAAAAAAGCAAGTAAGCTTGGGTGTCCACCACCTAGCCACCGCAAAAAATGGATTTCTCAGTCGCCCAGATTGGACCCAGAAAAACAGGTGATCACCAACATGGACCAAGCGGGGAAAGGCCAAATCGCAAATGAGGGGCGGGCCCTCTATGCCTAATTCTGGGGTATATTTAAAACAAAACGGTTCGATTCGACAAGTGAATCATGACCAAAACCCGGTATTAACATAGCCGATCCCCAGAACCATGCTTCAAGAACTAAAAGGCGGATACCGCAATTATTTATGACCAAAGGATTTTCCCTTGCTAACCTTCATCTACCCGCATCGTTTTTGAGGCCGTGGCTCAAGTGAGTAAGTTGTTTGTAACCTAAGCTATAACCTTCTTATAACTGGGCTGCCCTCAGATCCCATCTAAAAGTATCACTGTCGGTGGACCAAATGGAAACACTAAGCACTAAAAAGCTACAAAGCTGAAAAGATGATCTTGTTCTTGGTGGGTTATAACCGAGGTGGACTCCACTTGCTGACCTGGCAACGAACATCCAAGTATGGAACCTGAAAGCGACCCCCAAGTTGATGTTCTTCCAGGGACTCTCTGTCAATGAGTCAAGTCTGCATGCTTCCTTTTGGCAAGGTCTTGCGATTCCGGAAACTTAAGTCCGCAAACTCTGAGGGGTTCTCTTGAACTTCAGGAACCTTGGAGAGTCGAGTGCTTCCTTTTGGGACTATTCTCTTTGACTCAAGCATCCTGACTTAGATCGAAAGGAAATTGACGGCAAACCAAACAGGCAGAAAGTACACCCACTTTCCCAACCTGAGCTGGGAAACACGCCCCCGCCCGCACATCTTTTTCTCTGTGCCTAGAGAGCATGTATGGGGACCAGTGCGCCCCCTCTGGCGGGGAAATTCCAAGCCGACCCACCGTGGGGTGTCCCTCTTGGTGGAAACCCAGGACCTATGGGCATGTCTCAAAAAAGAGAATCGGAACCCACAAAATGGGGTGACTTCCCTTTGGTTTCTCCTTTAAACCACCCAACCAGAGGGTTTTTTCCCCAGAACACACAAACAACATATAAACCACTGGTTGAATCAGACCAGTTGCCGCCCGGATCTCGGTGTTCGATCCAGGTTCCAGCCCTCCCAAAACAAGGCTGCTGTAAGCAGTGGATCCATCTACCCGTAAAGTACCGTACCAAAAAACAACTGTCCTTCAAAAGCCAGAGGGAAACTAGCTGATGACCTACTATATGGGTACCTGGGATCCACTGAAAAATCCCCCAGATCCCAAGAACGCGCCTTGTCCTCAGACACGGGCACATAGTTAAGGTGCGTCAAAACCTTGCGCAGCTGACGCAAACGACCCAACTTGCTGCCACGCTCACGTAGGCCATCTGTTGCCAGCCATGTCTTGCTCAGCCTCTTGCTCAGAAGCCCATTGGTCGGAAGCTCAACACTGCATGTTTACCCACATTTGCTTGCCAAATGGGTCAAATGCTGGTATATAGGTGTCTCTTAAAATGGGGGAACCCGAGAATGGTGGACTTCCCCTCTGGTTCCCCTTTACAGCAGCCCCGAAAAGGGCACCCTTAAAAGAAAAAACAGCCCCGAATTTTACCTACATCACCAAAGAAAAAGCCCTCTACAGTATGCAACCCCGGGAAATCATGCATACGGCCATCCTGGACAAGATCACAGGTACTGGTGTTGGCTGGTATGAAACCTTTACCTACATAACCTAAGCACAAGCCCCCTATAGTAGGCACAAAAGACACATTGTGCATCTAGAGGTAAGAATCACTGGTTACCTGCTATAGTGGCAACTAGAAGTACCTGGCCAAATGAACGGCAATTGTAGGCGAGATCAGCCCCGCGTGTGTGTGTGTGTGTGTGTGTGTGTGTGTGTGTGTGTGTGTGTGTGTGTGTGTGTGTGTGTGTGTGTGTGTGTGTGTGTGCGTGTTATCTTATTCTCGCATTTGTTCCTCCCGACAGACGTGAAACCGAAAGCCATGCTCCCCGGGAAACGCTTCCACCCGGGGCTGGGCGTGGTTTCTATTTAGGGCCCTCCCCCCAAAACAAACAAACAAACAAACAAACAAACAAACAAACAAACAAACAAACAAACAAACAAACAAACAAACAAACAAACAAACAAACAAACAAACAAACAACACAGAGTAATATATATATATATATATGTATATGGTTACCGTTGTCTTTTGGTCTCCCTTCAAACCCCAACCCAATCTCACAAACAAGGACAGACTCATATGAGCGGTGCCGACCATAGGGTACATAAACCCCTCTACTAAGACCTCCCATTGACCCGTTTCATTTCGGGTTTTTTTTGACCGCTGCCCATATGAGTCACAATCAAAACCCGGTATTAAAAAGGTCTACCCAGAACCATGCTTCAAGAATTAAGAAGGCGGATATCCGCAACTATTTCCGGCTGGTCTTTCCCTTACTAACCTTCATCTACCCGAATCGGTTTTGAGCAAGTGGCTCATATGTTCCCTCAGTTTGCCTGCAGGGTTCAGAGTCCCGCCGTGACTTCACGGGGAACCGCGGCGGCATTTCTCGGGGTACCTCCCAAGTCTCAGTCTGAACGTAAAAAACAACTTCCAGGCGACGAGTCTCTCCAGGCGTTTCGCTTTTTTGTTTGCTTGGGTTTCTCGAGTTTTTTCGGGTTTTTGGGAAAAGTGTCCAACACATTGTGTTTTTGTTTACCCAAAACCGTGGAAAAGCGCGCGCTCGGGGCGTCCGGTGTCCTTTTGAAACAACAAAGGGCACTGGCCAATGATTAGAACCAAATTGAAACCAGCGCCACCCTTTCCCAAGCAAGCGGACCTAAAACGGACACCTATGAAAACCTTCCTGCGGAGGTACGGGAGTCCTGTTGAAACATGTGAGGAGCGGACGAAACCCTTTACTTGGCCTTAGTACTTTTTTTAACGTCATCGTTTTTGGGGGAGACCTCATCGTTTTACAGTGTTTTCGAACTTTGGCAGATCCGGCTCCAAAATCGCAACTTTCTAGCACAAGTCTAGTACGCGAAGTACACTTCCGCAGCTCCAGCTCGAAATTCGCAACTTTGTAGTACAAGTCTAGTACGCGAAGTACACTTCCGCAGCTCCAGCCCGAAAATTGCGAAATACAATTCCGCAGCTCCAGCTCGAAAAGCGAAACTTGGCAGGCAGTACAAGTCTAATACGCGAAGTACACTTCCGCATCTCCAGCTCGAAAATCGCAACTGTGCAGTACAAGTCTAGTACGAAGTACACTTCCGCATCTCCAGCTCAAAAATCACAACTTTGTCGTGCAAGTCTAGTACGCGAAGTACACTTCCGCAGCTCCAGCTCGAAAATCGCAACTTTGTAGTACAAGTCTAGTACGCGAAGTACACTTCCGCATCTCCAGCTCGAAAATCGCAACTTTGTAGTACAAGTCTAGTACGCGAAGTACACTTCCGCAGCTCCAGCTCGAAAATCGCAACTTTGTAGTACAAGTCTAGTACGCGAAGTACACTTCCGCAGCTCCAGCTCGAAAATCGCAACTTTGTAGTACAAGTCTAGTACGCGAAGTACACTTCCGCATCTCCAGCTCGATCATCGCAACTTTGTAGTACAAGTCTAGTACACGAAGTACACTTCCGCATCTTCAGCTCGAAAATCGTAACTTTGTAGTACAAGTCTAGTACGCGAAGTACACTTCCGCAGCTCCAGCTCGAAAATCGCAACTTTGTAGTACAAGTCTAGTACGCGAAGTACACTTCCGCTCTCCAGCTCGAAAATCGCAACTTTGTAGTACAAGTCTAGTACGCGAAGTACACTTCCGCATCTCCAGCTCGAAAATCGCAACTTTGTAGTACAAGTCTAGTACGCGAAGTACACTTCCGCAGCTCCAGCTCGAAATCGCAACTTTGTAGTACAAGTCTAGTACGCGAAGTACACTTCCGCAGCTCCAGCTCGAAAATCGCAACTTTGTAGTACAAGTCTAGTACGCGAAGTACACTTCCGCAGCTCCAGCTCGCAACAGCTAGTACGCGAAGTACACTTCCGCATCTCCAGCTCGAAAATCGCAACTTTGTAGTACAAGTCTAGTACGCGAAGTACACTTCCGCAGCTCCAGCTCGAAAATCGCAACTTTGTAGTACAAGTCTAGTACGCGAAGTACACTTCCGCAGCTCCAGCTCGAAAATCGCAACTTTGTAGTACAAGTCTAGTACGCGAAGTACACTTCCGCATCTCCAGCTCGAAAATCGCAACTTTGTAGTACAAGTCTAGTACGCGAAGTACACTTCCGCAGCTCCAGCTCGAAAATCGCAACTTTGTAGTACAAGTCTAGTACGCGAAGTACACTTCCGCATCTCCAGCTCGAAATCGCAACTTTGTAGTACAAGTCTAGTACACGAAGTACACTTCCGCATCTTCAGCTCGAAAATCGCAACTTTGTAATACAAGTCTAGTACGCGAAGTACACTTCCGCAGCTCCAGCTCGAAAATCGCAACTTTGTAGTACAAGTCTAGTAGTTTTCCAGCTACAAGTAGTACGCGAAGTACACTTCCGCATCTCCAGCTCGAAAATCGCAACTTTGTAGTACAAGTCTAGTACGCGAAGTACACTTCCGCAGCTCCAGCTCGAAAATCGCAACTTTGTAGTACAAGTCTAGTACGCGAAGTACACTTCCGCAGCTCCAGCTCGAAAATCGCAACTTTGTAGTACAAGTCTAGTACGCGAAGTACACTTCCGCATCTCCAGCTCGAAAATCGCAACTTTGTAGTACAAGTCTAGTACGCGAAGTACACTTCCGCAGCTCCAGCTCGAAAATCGCAACTTTGTAGTACAAGTCTAGTACGCGAAGTACACTTCCGCAGCTCCAGCTCGAAAATCGCAACTTTGTAGTACAAGTCTAGTACGCGAAGTACACTTCCGCATCTCCAGCTCGAAAATCGCAACTTTGTAGTACAAGTCTAGTACGCGAAGTACACTTCCGCAGCTCCAGCTCGAAAATCGCAACTTTGTAGTACAAGTCTAGTACGCGAAGTACACTTCCGCATCTTCAGCTCGATCATCGCAACTTTGTAGTACAAGTCTAGTACACGAAGTACACTTCCGCATGTTCAGCTCGAAAATCGTAACTTTGTAGTACAAGTCTAGTACGCGAAGTACACTTCCGCAGCTCCAGCTCGAAAATCGCAACTTTGAAGTACAAGTCTAGTACGCGAAGTACACTTCCGCATCTCCAGCTCGAAAATCGCAGCTTTGTAGTACAAGCCTAGGCTGTACGCGAAGTACACTTCCGCATCTCCAGGTCGAAAATCGCAACTTCTCAGTACAAGTGTCGTATTTACAGAGCCGTGTGTTCGTTAAGGGTCATCGTTTTTGGGGGAGACCTCATCGTTTTCCATGGTTTTGGGATGTGTTACTCAAAAGCGTGCCCCGTCTTGATAAAGTGGTCTACGCGTGTTTTGTCCGTGGCTCATGTAAAAACAGAACCATTGACCCAAACCTTCTGTTGCTTTCCTGCGGCCTAAAGTCTCCCCAAGAAATCAACCCCAACTTGTTTCTCGAGAAGTCGGCCCAGAGATGCTTTCCAGATTCAAAGGTTTTAACAGCTAGTTGATGCCCAAACAGCCTGTGAACAAGCACGTTGTTTCGTGGAAATCCGTGGTTTACCTCCTTCTGGCTTTCCTTTCAAGGCGACCAACCCTGCGATGTTTGCCTCCAGATTCAGAGCTGAAACAACCCTGAAAATCGAAGTTAATTTGTTATCGGCCTTGCTTTCAATGTTCCCCAACGTTTTACAAAGCTGCTTGTGTTGGCTTTAAAACAGCCTCCCCTGGGGCAGGGGGTTGGGGGTCTAAACTTGGTTGCTGCAAGGACCCCCCTGCAAAAAGGTTTACTTCTCGGGGTTTAGTGGGAAACACCGTTATTTCCCAAAAAGTTCCAGTCTAAAGATCCAACCCGATAGCACCGGGATGATCCCGTACTCAAGTAAACGCCGTTCAGCGTGCCTCATGCACCTGCCCGCGGTACAGGTCGTTGTCCTCCGAGCAGAAGCGCTGAAAGGCCACCCGCATCCTGACGAGTCTGACGAGCCGTGGGGTTGGCCACAAAGACAGCCACTTGGCTTTCATTTGGTTAAGACCCCTGGCGAAAAACGAATTCCAGTAGTGATACATTCCTTCTAAAACCAACCAGGGAAAATAACAAATTTATTAAATATTCTTATAAGCAAGTGGAAGTTGGGTGCCAAGTTACTCATCTGCGAATCACTTGGTCTTAAGCCGCTTGTAGGTCATCCCACGTGGATCTATAACCTGGTAAGCGGGTCATGACACAGGCGGCCTTTTCCACTAACTTGACCGAACATCCAGCAAGTCTCAGTTGTTCTCCAATTACTGGAAGTTTGCCCAGAAGGGATTCAAATCCAATCGAAAGCACAAACTAGGGACCTTATCCTTGGTTGCCGTTGACCCCTCTGCAAAAAGTGACTTTGTTTGTGGGTCCAATGGATAATTAGCTCAAAGACCCAACCAAATCACCGTTTTTGTTTGAACCATCCCGCATCGGTTCGTCTCTCTGGCCTTTTCTCTCAGGTCCGGGGCGCTTGATCCGAACTCTTGCTTGGTCAAGGGTGTAGCACCCTTTAAAAAAGGCTTGTCAGCAGTCATTCCCCTATAAGAACAAACCTGAACAACCACCTTTTTGTTGAATGAATCTCCTTTTGGGCTGAGAAAAACTTGGATGTTCGTTGCCAACCTGGTGACTAGATTCCCAGGTTTCTGGCCCTTCATGGTCCTTGGCCTCTGGGTACCGCGAAGTTGATCGAACATCCAAGATCGAGGTGTCCCATGACGGGAACCCATGAATCAGAAACCCCTTGCGGTGGATACTTGGGTGTTCGGCCAAGTTAGTAAGTGGTTGGCACCTTGTGTATGACCTGCTTGTCAGCTTCCTTAGTGGAGTGAACCTTGGTCTCAGCGGGTATAACACAGCTGGCGAAACGCTTGCTATCTTGGCTGAACATTCAAGTAGAGAGTTACACGCATTCTAAGTTCCTAGAACTGTGACATGGTCTCCGCAAAAGCCGACAGGTACTTGGCCAACCATTTGGGTCCTGGTTATTGACCTAGGATCATAACATAATTGATTTTAACTGTTAAACTGAATTCCACTATGCCACTACCCCAATCCAACTAGTTGAGGGCTTTGTAAGCAAAAACAACGATCATTTGCAGCCTTCTGACCACGTGACACTGTGCTCAAACATACAATTGGCGGGAGGGGGGTGGAAATCCGTCAAAACACACAACACACACACACATACCTTGGCTGACAGTTGAGAACTCCGAAGCTATTGTTGATGATTCTGCTTCTGATTTAGTTACCCCCAAAATACAAACGTTGTGGAGGAGACCCCAGATACACATTCGACACCAAAACTCGCCCTCCTCTTGATCTCGTGATCCGGGATGAAGCCCGTGTTGACGTAGAACCTGTCCGAATTCCGCTTAGAGGGTCCCTGGTACGTTGTGAGAATACATTTAAAATACCACAAACGGTCAAAGTGCGTCCTGAAAAGGCGCAGGATTGGGGAGTCAGCTGGCATTACAACAAACAACATCATGTATCCTATCAAAGTCAAAGCAACATTATACAGTTCTGCCATATTCCTGCAACGGATCGGTTGTTTCTAATCCTCTTACAAAGGTTTATCCCGAAAGCAAGAGGTATTGCTAGACTGTTGTGCTAAGCTGATGCCCAGCCCTATGTAATCGGTCCGATTAGGAAAGAAAGGTCGATGCAGCTCGGCTCGTATCTAAACATCCAAGCCTTTCCGCGTACAAAACAGAGTTTCAAGCAGGGCAACAGGGGTTAGTTGAATCATAACCCTGATTATTGCAACCTACTCTCAGTGGACCTGGAAACAAAGGGTTAACCTTTTAGAGTCTTGACTAAATATGGAATAATCAGGGGTGTTTGGACATTTGCCCTCAATGGGCCGACCAAAAACGCGATGCTTCAAACCGGAAGCACAAAAAGGAAATCTAGGGACCCCTGATAAAACCCGCCGAATAGGACACTGATCAATATTAAGGGGCCGTCGTGTTTCAAATGCGGGCAAGGGCACAGGCTTCATAGCACAGAAGCCGAAGTCCCTATAAGTCACAAGCAAAAGCTGAAAATCAAAATGGTCCAACCAAAACACATGAATTCCAAGGGACTCTTTGGTGCATCTGCACCTGGCCGATTCTGCATCCAGCCGGCCCGTCCAGTCACCTGGCATTTCAGCAATCTCAGCCAAACGCAAAAGGCTCTTCATTGCAAAGTCTGCAAATCCAATCACCTGCAAAGATGAGGGGGCTGTTGTGCATCGTACCTGCAAGAAGAATGTGCCGCATAGGGTAAGCCTTTCAACGTCTCAACGTTCCTCAAGCTGAAGACTGCCTCGGTGTCAGCAACGTGCCATTCAGCTCGAGAAGTTGTGGCTCAAATCCGCACTTGTTGAACATTCTCCTGCGTGAGGACAAGCATGGTTGCCTCTCAAACAGGGTGAGGCACATGGTCCAAGCGTCATTGCACCTGGCAAACGCATCTGCCCAGGGCAAGCGAGGAGTAGCTGGGCTGCCCGATTTCCGATCCCCCGCTAAAAGTGACTAACTTTGAGCGGGTGAAATCAGAAACTACCACTAAACACTAAAAGGCTAAAAAGCTAAGGAACCGGATGGCCTTCGGGAGCCACCAAGTTAAGGTCACCAAGAATTCGTGGGCGATTGAAAAACACAATCCCCAGCATGCCTTGGGCAATGAGTTCGATAGTCCTCCCAAGGTCTCATTCTAGGTCCTCCAGTAGAGAGGTTAGAATAATGTGGTACCCACCTTTTTTCTGTAGTCTATTTTAGTAGGGGAACCCTCCCCAAAAAGAAACGGTGAGCAAGGGCACCTAGCTGGGGGACCTAGCATTGCAATATACTCTCAGCCATTCTAGGGTTTGATTCCCCATTCTTTTTGACCATCGTTCTTTTCGAACCCTCAGCTGTTTCCCCTGGGGCTCTGATGGTTTCTGAAAAGAAGGATCCCTGGCAAGAATGGAAATGGAAGTCCCCTAGAGCCATGACTTGCATCTTCGGAAGGTGGGATACCCAAAAGCCCATGGACGTTTGGTTCTACCAACACGGCGCACCTTCATGCCGGCCTTACCATCCGCTCCATGAAGAGCCACCCACCAATGTGCCGCTGAATACGTTGAGCTTCGATTTGGTTAAGACTCCTGAAAAAAAACAGTAGTGATAAATCCTTGTAACACCAACAAGGGAAAATACAACATATTTATTTCAGCAAATGGAAGCGAGCTGTGCCTGGAACGAACGTTTTAAGAACCGGGTGGGGCAAAAAAACAACTGTTCGAGAAGCCCGGCTGAAAAAGCCATCAGGTGACAAGAGGGCTGAGGGTGCCGTACCTGAGGATGTACCAGCCACACTCGGCCTCCCCCCCCTCTATCCTCAGGTCCCTCAGACTAACGGCCGGAAGCTCCCAACAAAAACCTCTGCGAATGGAACCAAGTCTTTTCGAAGGGGTCCTGGCAGCCTGGGAGAGGCCCTTGAGTGAATACGCCTGGTGCACATGTCCCCCCCGCTCGGCCAGAGGGCCTGTCCAAGGCATCCTGCACGCTGGGGCACAGCGGCCCAACCTGACAGAAAGCCCAAAGAAACTTCACTCAGCTTCGCCTCAATTCGTGGTTGGGATTGGTGGTTTGGGATTGGAACCAATCGAAACCATATGGAGAAGGTAGCCCCCAGCTTCCAAACCACCAAGTAGGTGAAATCTGATTAACCCCCAAACTAGGCTATGCAGAATATCAGCTTCCTTCTTCTTGGTGGCTTGACCCTTAAAAAAGGCGCATCCACATGAGGTCTGGCTTCTGGGGTTAGGGATGCATTTGTACAGCCACACGTGTTCCTGTCAAGCTGGAAAATCCCAATCCAGAAGGGTCTCCTTCAAGGTGTTCACCAACAAAGAGAATTGGAATGACCAAGAAAAGCCATCCAACTGGCGGTTTCATGGAATCCCTAGGTCTTCATTCTCAACCCACTGAAAACCATCCAACTGGCGGTTTCCTTTCATGGAATCCCTAGGAACTCATTCTCAACCCACGGAGAAAAAGAAACAAATCCCTAGGTTCATTCTCAACCCACGGAAAAAGAAAGAAAACAGCCTCCAAGTGGCGGTTTCCTTTCAGGAACGACTGTAGGCAACCATATCCTGCAGCTGCCGCACGCCGGCCTCACGCGCACAATCGTCGTGGCTCTGTTTGGCGCCAATTTCCAGAATGACCAGACTGTGGCAATCGTGCTGCTTCTCGGGCTCTGCTCATCCGATTCTTGTTTCCCAACGAAGCCATGCGGCGCCCGCCAGAAATCCCTCTGCCATCCTCGGCCGCAACTAAGAGCACGGGGCCATCCCGGCCAGCGGCGCAGACAACCAAAGGAAAAACCGAAATCCACTTGGAGGGCGTTGTCTTTTTCTCATGTTTCTTAGGGGGAAACCAAAGGGAAAACCGAAATCCATATTGGATTTCAGGGCTGAGCAATTACTGTCATGACTTTGATTGATGCAGTGACTGAATCTAGTACAGTACCCAGCACCAACTGTTATTGAACGGCCCTTAAAGAACACATCTACCTGGGCTATTGAACGACCTTGTTTTTTTCTTTCTTAAGGGTTACTTTGAGGGTGCAGGCACCATAGGTGTCCTGTATGGGGAAATAGATGGCCCTGGTCAATGGAATAAAACCAACCTAAACCAGTGCCATCTATGTCTAACAAAAATAACCTAAAATGACTATTGAACAACCTTGCTATTTGTTTTAAGGGTACTTTGAGGCTTTTTCCCCAACAGCTGGAAGCTTTGGGGTCTCAGCCCAGATAGGCTCCGGGGTGGTCCGGGGCGGCCCTGAGGTAAGGTTCCACCAGGGTTCCACCAGGGTTTCCCGTTCCACGACATTCTGCGAGGCTACGGGGTGGTGCGAGCACTAAACAGAGCACCGCATGCTGTTGGGGATATCACCTGAGCTTATGTTTTATGATCGGCGCACGGCTCTCCGCAAAGACTCTGCGAGCCCATGAACAGAAAGTCCCGCGCCTTCTCCCAGCTGGCAGCAGGGAGGAGGTTGCTTTCTTCCTGCAGACTAGCAGACACTCGGTTGCTTTCTGCTCCCCTGCCAAAAGCTTTTCACTTTTAGTGGCTTGATACGGAAAACCCATGAGTTGGCAAAAAGTTAAAGTCCTAACATCCCTTGACAACATGCACCAAAGGATAGACTGACTCCTTCAGTTGCCCAAAGGACCCACAAAGAAAAGGTTCACCTTTTGGGGCCATGACTAAAAATGGACCCAACGGGGGGAAACCAAAAAAGGTCAAAAGGCCGGATTGGGCAAGTTAGGAATGATTCAGTGGCACAGGGGAGCCATTGCAGCCTGCACTCTGTGGCGTATCTTGGTTCATCCATCCCTTCAAACTTAAGCTGTTCGTGGGATACCTTGCAAACTCTCAAAGCTAGAAGCCGCACCTTTATAAGTGTTGGGACCCTCTACGCTCTGAAGACTAAAAGTCAAAGGGTGCTGCATTCTTTAGCCGCCAAAGTGACGACGACTTCAGGTCTGAAGGGACATGCACATCCCGGAATCTTCCATTTGCTCGAGTCCAAGTCTCCAAGATCGCAAACGGAGTGGTGACCCGGAACATGTTGGACATTGTGACCCATTTGCATGTCATGGAGATACTAGGTACTCAATGATAGAGTTTAAACTGCCAATGGGAAACACCAAATCACCGTTCAATGTCGTCCTGCTTGCGCCTTCCTTGCCACCAGTGGCCATGTGGGCGTATCTTTTTGAAATAGCTCCAGCCCCCAAAGAAAACAAAAAACATCGCCCACTCCGAAAAAGAGGGGGCAGGTCGAATCCACTTGACAAACAAAGGCAGAACAACCCGGCCTCAGAAGCCCAATGGCCTTCTTTTCTCGCGAGTCTGGTGGGTGTCCTTTTGGCTTCCCTTTAAATACCAACCAAAAAATGGGCTCACCATGTGGAGAAACAACTCCCCCTTCCGACTCCAAGCTTGCGATTCTCGCGAGAACTCGCGCCTGGAAGGTCATAGTCACGGTCTAAGTGAACGAGCGCAGGCTGAAGCTTCGGCAGACTCGCATGGAACCCAACACCAATCTGGGAACCTTTGGTGGGCATCAATCTGAGAACCTTTTCACGTTAACTTGCAGGTGGCATCAATGGATTGCTGTCGACCCTCCTGCAAAAAGTTGACAACTTTTGGGGGTTTAAGTAGTGGAAAACACCTTTATCTCCCAAAAGGTGAAAGTCTAAAGACGGTGGCGGTCGGGGCTATGAGCCCCGGAAAAACACAGTCTGACAGTTGTTATGGTTTCCACCGACTCGTCCAGAAGAGACTTGCCGAGTCATGCCCGCGTTGTTCATACATGAGCAACCGATGGCCAACTGGCATAGAAAATATGTTGAAGAATATATGAATACGAGCGTTACATATATACTTCATATGAAGTCGAGTAGAACAAACATCATCTTTCATACAGATTTGGAATAAACAATTATACAAACAAACCGAATTCAAACAGACTAGAGTTCATAGAACAATAGACACTTCCATAAATCCAGCTCTTCCTGGGGGAATCTACAACTTGGTTCATTACTTACCCAGCAGCTGGCCTGGACTCATCACTTCGATATTTGCCACTGGCTATCAGAGTCGCATAAAAAAGCGCTACCCCCACTGACTTCCCGCCTCTGCCTTTTGAACCTCACCTCACCAAAAGGAAACTCGCCTTAAGCTGGTCCAGTAAAAGGTGATCTTCAAAACCACCAAACTCACTTGCTGAGTGGAAGGCCTGAAAAAAGTCCAAACTTCATATTTACCACTAAAATGGTCTTCCCAAAAAGTTTAAAGTTCATGAACTCAGGAAGTGAAAAGGAGAAATATAGGGAACCCTGCTCAAGAGGCTGGATCTCCTGGTGTCTTGTACTGATGACGTGCAAACGTGGGCTTCAACCCATCTGAGCCTACACTTGGAACAAGAGGGACCACTAGACTGAACGAATAAAAAGCC